GCGCCGTCAAGCGGACTCGGCTTGCCCACCGACAGCTAGGCCGGCCGAGCCGCCGCAAAGGGCGGAACCCTGAGTTCCAAGAGGGCGTGTCTGTCGTAACGTCATCACGCGTCAGCGTCATCACGCTTTTGCCGCCATTTTTGTTGAGGGCAGCCAACCAGCTAGCCTGGGAGGTGTGTCGCTGTCCAGCGTTCCTGGAATCCCTCCACGTCCGCAAGCTTCGCTAAAACAAAGTACGAAAAAGAGTAGGAACCAGGGCGTGAACTCCTCCCCAAAGCCTTTCAAGCCTCTGTTGTCCCCTTAGGGCCAGGCGGACAAGGGAGCGAGAGCGTCGCGCCAGTGACATCACGGCCGGCGTCTCCGCCATCTTGGTTTTAGATAGAGAAGAGGCAACTTGTGAAGTGCGAAGGGGGTGCGACAGTCTAAATGCTCAAAGTCCGCGAGCGTGAGCTGCTGTTGAGCTTGGCCGCAGCAGCAGCGGCGGTAGTGGCAGCGTGGCTGATGGGCTGGTGGAGTCCCCGCGCTGGCTTCCGCCTTTTTCTGCCCGAGGAGCTGGCCCGCTATCGCGGCGGCCCGGGGGACCCGGGCCTCTATTTGGCGTTGCTCGGCCGCGTCTACGATGTGTCCTCTGGCCGGAGACACTACGAGCCTGGGGCCCACTATAGCGGCTTCGCAGGTATCCTCCCAGCGGTCCGTGCCTTTCCTGCTTCTGCGCGGGCCAAGCGCTGCCTGCTTGTCATTCATTCATTCATTCGTTTGCGGCGCCCGCTTGCCATTCATCCTACCAGTGCGCCAAACTCTGGCCTCTTTCCCTGGCTGGGCTCGAAGCATCGGTTAAGGGCTTCAACCCTCTCTCATTCCCCACCGCCCATCGTGACATCTATTCGAACAACACAGCGCCCGCCTCCCGTTCCCCTTCCACGGTCGAAAGCTCGGACACCAGCTTTGTGGGCTCTTGCAGGGGCGGGGGTGGGGAGGAACCTGCCTGGGTGGGTTCCGACGCATAGTGACCCTATAGGACAGAGTAGAACCGTATAGGGTGACTGAAACTAATCCTTTGAAGTAGAAGGGCTTTTTAGGGCCCCTCTAAAATAATCGTCCCTCCTCGTCTCCCTCTTCCCCCAAGTTACCTTTACAAACCCTACATTTGATTTGAATTACTCTTGCTCCAGCTACAGATGTTAAGTGTGCCATCCTTAGAAAAAAGATTGTGCGAGGCTAGTGCAGGATCCGGCCATGCCCCCCCTCCCCTCTCCACCCTCAGTTCTCAGCACTAAGAGGTTAGGCCCCAAGGACGCTTGTCAAAGGAAGGTCATCCTGCAGCCTTTGTTTTACAGCTGAGGCCAGGGAAGGAGGATTTGCTGAAGGCCTTGACAACCTAGGACTAGCAGCACTTGCCCAAGGACCAAGCCTTCGTGGAGGTTTTGCCTGACAGCCTGGTCTGGTAGAGGGCCCAGACCCACTTCCTGGTATCTTTTAAAAGGCAGAGCAAGCTGAAGGGCAGTGAGGAGGCTGGTATTAAATGCACATTTTCCACTGCTCATGTTCATAGGATCTTTTGTCCCCTCCAGGGAGAACGTTGGAAATAAAAGCAGTGATAGAGAAGGGAGTCTTGCCAAGCTCCTGTATCCTACAGGGGGAGGTACTTTCCCAGGGCCACCCAGAAGTCCCTGGAGTGCACACAGGGAAGGACCTGACTGCTGGCTGAAAGGTTCAACCCATCAAGTGGGGGGACCTTGGAAGCGAGGCCTGCTGAGTGGCAGTTTTCCAGAACCTGGGGTGTCTCGCGTCAGGGACCCCGGGGGAAAGCGCCGAGCGGAGAACATGATGGAGATTGGAATCGAGAGCTTTCCCTCTACCGGCTGGACGTGCCTTTGGGAGGCCTGGTGGTGCCATGGGCGAAGTGCCAGGCTGTTCATGATAAAGTCAAGGCTTCCAGCCCGCCAGTCTCTCCACCGCAAACAGATGGAGCCCCTGCTCCTCTGAAGATGTACAGTCCCGGAGCCCTCCCGAGGGTGGCTGGCAGTAAGTTTGGTTACAGGGAGGCTGCAGCACTTCTGGCTGGATGTACAGGTAGGAAGGCAAAACCCGTCATTGCTAGGGTGACTTTTTTCCTTCGTTTGCTTCTGTCTACTGAGCTCCTGTGTGTCCAGATTCGTCCTCTGGCTAGTGAGTGAGCCCTCTGTGACTGAAGACCTCTGATGGTGCTGTGGGATGGACTCAGGCTGCTTGCTGCACCGTCATGGCTCAGACCCAGCAGCTACTCCTCAGAATGAAGACCAGACTGCGCCCAGAAAGCTGTACAGGGTCAGAAACCCCATATAAGGTTGCTAGGCGTCAGAATCAACTCAATGGCCGTGGGTTTTGGTCACTGTGTGGCCAGAGCCCCCGGGTAGTACAACTGGTTAGCACGCTTGGCTGCTAACTAGAGAGAAGAGGTTTAAGGGCACTCAGAAGTACTGCAGAAGGAAGGCCTAGCACTTTCTGGGCAGAAAAATCATCAGCGACTGAAAACCTTGCGAAGCACAGTTCCACATGGGCTCATCTGTCTACCGTGGGACCTGTCTTGTGCTGGGCATCACAGATGTCCATACTATGTCTCCAGCAGGCCTACTGCTCACCCACCCAGGCTAGTAGGGAAGCGGAGAGGTTCTCTCTCTACTTGCTCATTCAGTATTCTTGGTGGTATTTAGACAGCGTTCGTGTAACAAAATGTATCCTTCAGAAATATACACTTCATTTTTCATATCATAGTGTGGTTGCAGGGTGGTGCAGATGTTACCACTGCTTCATTTCAGAACATTTTTGTCACCTCACAAAGGAAAGTACCCTTGAGCAGTCACTCCCACCCCTTCCTCAAGTCCCCAGTGAGCATGAATGCTATGCTCTGTGGGTCCGTCTGTACTGGACATGGCATGTAGGTCAGGTTATGCATGTAGCTTCTGTGTGATCTCGCTCTCACTTCACCTACTGGTTTCAGCGTTTATCCATGTCACAGCAGGCCGCCCGTTTTCTTTTTATGTGTAAAAATCTCCCACCGTAAACTATACCACGTTTGGCTGATCTGTTCTTGAGTTGATGGCATTTGGGTCTTCCCACTTTGATGGGGGGGGGGGCAGGTAGGGCCATAGCTGTGAAAAGCCTGGAGGATGAGGAGGCAATCAGCAGGTGAAAAGGTAGGGCAAAGCCAACCACGCGTGCCAGGCCCCTGAAGTGAGGAGCCCAGGCAGTGGACAGAATTGAATGTGTGGCTGGCACAGGTAAGGACAGTGGCGTGGTGCAGGCGCCGAATGCCTTGTGAGGCCCTTCAGCCATTGTCCCAGGACAGAAGCCACAGAGGGTTTGAAAGCAGCAAGCTGGCATAATCAGGTTGTGCTTGAAGTGTCCGGCTGAGGAAGACCGCTGCACCACTGGACGAACGTCAGCCGTGCTGCAGAAATGGACACGTCGAAAGTGAACGGCATGTGGTCTGGCTGACTGTTCTCGACAGCAAAATCAGTGCTAAAACCATCACAAATCCGTCTAAGAGCCGCGTGGAGAATCGAGCGATGGGAAAAGACTGCGTGTGGGGAGACCCATTCGAAGTGAAGCCTGCTGCAGCACTTCCCCTGAGAAACGGCAGCACAGAGAGAGGCGGGTGGACTGATGTCAGAACTATTTAAGGAGACAGTGTAGGCCTTGGGGAGTGATTGGCACTGGGGAATGAAAGGTCGAGGACTGGGTTCTGGATTGGGCAACTGGAGGATTTAGGGAATGAGAGAAAACCAGAGTCCACGAAGGTTTCCTGGGCTACGGGTGCTGGTGATCATTGGTTCAGTGTGGGCAGTCTGAATTTGTGATGTCTCTAAGACATCTGGGAAACCTGGCAGCGGGCTGGGCTGCCAACTGCAAGGTTGACGGTTCAAAACCACCAAGTGCTCCCTGGGAGAAAGATGAGTTTTTCTATTCCTGTAAAGAACAACAGTCTCAGAAACCCACAGGGGCGGTTTGACCCTGTCCTAAAGGGTCGCTTCAAGCCAGAATCAATTCAAAATGGCATTGAATTTAGTTTTGGGGTGTTTTTTTTTATAAGACAGTTAAGAGATGCTGATTAGACAGCTGTGCATATCTGAAGCGAAAGAGAAGTCTCATCTGGCAAGCTGCTGTAGGAGAGCCGCAAGAGTGGAGGAGATTGTCAAGTGCGGATTGAAAATCACCAAGCCCACTGCCATCAAATTGGTTCTGCCGCCCAGCAATCCAAGGACAGAGTGGACATGTCCCAGAGGGCTTCCCAGAGTGGGATCTCTGTGGAAGCAGACAGCCTCATCTTTCTACCAAGGAAACAGCTGGTGGGTGCCAACTGCCCTTCCCTTGGCTAGTGGGCAAGCACTCAATCACTGTGCCACCAGGGCTGCAGATGAACCAGCAGGGCAGCTACACAAAAATGACCCCTGAGGCTGGTAAAAAAGGAGGCGCTAGTGAGGTCAGAGGGAAAGCAAGAGTGTGGTGTCACGGGATGCAAGGGGCGTGGGCAGCCAAGTTCTGAAGTCACGGAGAGTAAAGGGAGCCAGGAGCAAACACTGCTGTCCGGTCCATGCCGACTCGTAGTGTTCCAGAGGACACTTTGCAGGGGTGTAGAAAGCCTCCTCTTTGACCCACGGAGCGGCTATGAGGTTCGTACTGCCGACCTTGCTATTGGCAGCCCAGCACGTAAAGGGATGATGTGTCCATGATACAGGAGCGGCATCACAGAGGTGGGTCGGGGAGAGGTGGGGGCACATTCGCATTGCCTGAGGGGTTTCCGATGTTTCCCAGAAAAGAGCTGTCTGCCTTGGTAGCGAGGCTGTGATTTCCAAACCAATCGGCTGGAAACCTCTCTCCTGCAGGCCGAGATGCCTCGAGAGCCTTCGTGACCGGGGACTACACGGAGGCAGGCCTTGTGGACGACGTCTCTGACTTGTCGTTTTCCGACATGCTGACCCTTCAAACCTGGCTCTCCTTCTATGAGAAGAACTATGAACTCGTTGGTAGGTAGTCCGCAGGTTCTGTCCAGAGATTGCATGCGGTGGTCTCACCATTTGTCCTGAGGGGCCGGGGTTCTCTGAAGGAGCCCTGGTGTGCTGTGGGTTTAGCACTGGGCCACTAGCCATAGCTCTGTGGGAGAAAGATGAGGCTGAACGGACTTGAGGGAATGGTTTGGTTTGGGAGGCTGAGTGTCTTTGAGGATTGGACCCAAGGTTGAAATCAGAGCGCAGCCCTTCACGATCCCCTGTGAGCTCTGGCCCTTGGTGTGGCAAGTGAGCACAGGAGGAGGTGGGTGGAGCCGGGCTTCCCTCCCTTTCTTCCGGGGAGAGGATCGCCAGGCCTTGGTTTCCCAAAGCCAGCAGTTGCGGGCGCCATCTGTGACCCGGGCATCTAGCCTTTCCACAGCCAGGAAGGACTGGACCCTACATGCGCCTCACTTTGACACCTCCCCTGTCCTTTTGCCCTCGAGGAGGCAGAAATGAGCCTGTGTCCCTCCTCATTGTTCGAGCCAGCTGTGCAGGGTGCTGTGTGTGCTGTCTGCTGGTGGGAGACCGCCACCTCGCCCCGTCCTGAAGGGACAGGAGAGACACTGAGCGCTAGCCTGCTCTGCACACCCGGCAGGCTGGGCCAGTCAGATGCTCTCCCCAGAACCCCACTCAGACACAGCCCACTCCACTGTCCACTCTACCCGGACAGGCCTGTCCCTGAAGAGCCCTCTCCCTCTTCCCCAGGCCTCGGTCTCTGTCTCGTCGACGACGACGTGTCTCCTTTCCTGAGACCCGAGCTCTTCATCCTTCATGACAGATGGTTCTGCTCCCTGCACATCCCAGTGGGCTAGTTGCCAGCACCTCTCAAGTTGGTGCTTTACCGTTGGCAGACCACCCCCCACCCCCCCCACCCCCGCTCCATTGCTGGCCCTTGTCACCCCAACCTGCAACACCCCTTTGTTTTCACCCCCATCTCCCCCAGATCTTTCCTCATGCCCCAACCCCGCCTGCCATGGAAGGAACTGATCTCTTCTCTGCCCATCCATCTGCCCTTCAAGGAGCTGGGTTCCCCCATCCCACAAGAGGCTGGGCAGAATGTTACTGTATTAATAAGGACAAGAAAGCCAACACCAAGAGGCTAGAGGGGGGTCCTACAACTGGACCAAGATGCTAGTCCAAACACAGTGTGATGAGATAAACACTAGTTTCCTTGAATCAGGTATGAATGGGGTGTGTGTGTGTGTGTGTGTGTGTGTGTGTGTGTGTGTGTGTGTCTACTGTGAGTGTTGGCTGCCAACCACAAGGCCAGGGCTTCAAGCCCTCCCCACCACTCCTCAGGAGAAAGATGAGGCTGTCTGCTTGGAAACCCTCAGCCTTCCTCAGGCCGCGACCTCTCATACAGCTCCTCATGTGTGGTCACCCCAACCATAACATTATTTTCATTACTACTTCATCACTGTCATTTCGCTACTGTGATGAATTGGGCGACCCTGTGAAAGGGTTGTTCGGTCCCCAAAGGGGGTTCTCACCCAGAGGTTGAGAACCGCTGCTCTATAGAGTGGCCCTGAGTCAGAATCCACTCTCTAGCAACAGGTTTGGGTTTGGGTGCTTTGAATAAGTGACAGTTCTGGCCACATCCTGCCATGCATCCCCTCATTCTGGAGGAGAGGGTGGCCCTCAGGACATGTCGGGGCCGGTGGGGGGACCTTTATTATAAGCAATCACCTTGGAGTGAAGACATCCAGGAAGTTGCCTTGGCGCCTTGTGGTGGCCAGATGTAGTGGCTTTGAGGCCATGCTGGCCAGTGTTGGCTCCGGATTGAGCAGGGGGTTGGGGTCCCGTTCTCATCTGTCTTGTATCTAAAATAAGGTGACCAGATTTTAACATTGGTAAAGCAGGACACCATTGATAAAACTCAAATCCTGGCGAAATAGCCACATGGCAGCCAAAAACTGTATACCCTAGCTTGTCATGCATTCTTTCCAAAAATCGGGACTTTTTAAAAATGCTACGGGACGTGGGAAAAATTGTTAAAAATCAGGACTGTCCCGCCAAAAGCGGGACATCTGGTCACCTTAGTCTAAGACCCACCAGACAGGCTTGGCACCACGCAGTGCAGAGCTGGATCATGGCGGGGCCCTGGCCCATTTGCTTCACCCAACAAGTTTTTTTTTTTTAACCGTTTTATTAGGGGCTCATACAACGCTCATCACAATCCATACATACATCAATTGTGTAAAGCACATTTGTACATTCATTGCCCTCATCATTCTCAAAACATTTGCTCTCCACTTAGCCCCTGGCATCAGCTCCTCATTTCCCCCCTCCCTCATGAACCCTTGATAATTTATAAATTTTTATTTTGTCATATTTTGCCCTGTCGGATGTCTCCCTTCACCCACTTTTCTGTTGTCCATCTCCCAGGGAGGAGGTCACATGTAGATCCTTGTAATCAGTTCCCCCTTTCCAACCCACCCTCCCTCTACACTCCCAGTATCGCCACTCACACCACTGGTCCTGAAGGGATCATCCAGGGAAATCCTGAATTCCCTGGATTTCCAGTTCCTGTCTGTACCAGTGTACATCCTCTGGTCTAGCCAGACTTGCAAGATAGAATTGGGATTATAATAGTGTTGGTGGGGGCCGGGGGGAGAAGCATTTAGGAACTAGAGGAAAGTTGTATCAACAAGTATTTAAAAGGAACCCTCGCTTATAAAGCCAATTGGAGTTTGGGCCCTTACCTGGGAGAAGCATCCTACGTAAAGCCAGAGAGGGCCGGCTGCACAGAGCATTCCCCTGGGATGTGATGAGTGCTGGGCCGGGGGCGGAGGCAGGAGCCACCTTCAGGATGGATGGTGAGGGGACTCTTGGAGGAGACGGCTGCTCCACTGAGGCCTGGGCTGCGAGGGTGAGCCAGCAGTCCAGGGAACGCATATGTGAGGCCGGGGAGCAGCTGACTGTGGGTGGCCTTGGCATAGAAAGCCAGGGCGCTCCAGGAGCTCCAGCGGCTCAGAAAAGGCTGAAGACAGACGCACGCAGAAGCCCCATCCTAGAGGCCTCGGAGCCTTGGTAAGAAATCTGTGTTCGATCCAAGTGCTTCTGGACCCCCTGGGCTGTCAGCCGGCACGGTGGGGCTGAAAGAAGGCATGTTCTCACACACTGACTAGTCAGATGGCATGCGCTGATGTAGAGACCAGGGAGACCTGTGGAAGTGGGTGTGGCTGAGGGAGGCAGCAGTGGAAACAAAGAACTGGAGCCTGGCCAACAAGACTGTCCACTTGGTCAGGGACCAGATGTGGAGGAGCAGTGAGGCCCCAGGCTCCGAATCTAGATGGCAGAGGCCGGAGCTGACATACACTGAATCAGGAGAAGTCAGGAGAGGGGTTGGCCTGGGAGAATGAGCTTGCTGACCCCAATGTCACTTGGACCCAGAGGTAAAGTCTGTTCTTAGAGCTGCAGTGGTCGGGACCCGCAGGGCTGGTGGGGAGAGGAAGGGGCAGGGGACAGTGCCGCATGGCAGCCACCTCCCTCATCGAGGTCACACCATCTAGGTCACTCCTGCCCTGTGACAGCCAGCTGTACCTGTCGCGGGGAGGAGAATGTCCTGGCACCAAAGGCTGCCGCACACCTGCTGCCGCGGCTGTAGCTCTGCTCTCTCCCCTGCCATTGCGTCGTGATTCCAACTGCTAGCCTCCCTTGTAGGGTTTCTGAGGCTGTCAGTCTTTACGGGAACCAACAGCCTCGTCTTCCTGAAGTGGGTGGGGAGTTGAGACCTGGGGGACGTGCTCGGAAAGCTGAGCATCTGTGCGCCCCTCCCTTGATCACCCTGACCTCCTTTCCTGTCCCCACAGGGAAGGTCGTTGGGAGGTTCTACGAAGAGGATGGGCTCCCCACGCCAGCGCTGACCCTGGTGGAAGCCATGATCAGCAAAGGCCTGGAGGCGAGTGACCAGGAAATGAGAGCAAAGCAGACGTTCCCCCCATGCAACACTGAGTGGAGCTCAGCCAGGGGCACCCGCTTCTGGTGCTCCCCACAGAGGTACACAGGCTGCCCCCGCAGCAGACTGCTGGAGGCTCTCTGCATTGGTCAGTGGAGCCGCCAGGGGCCCCCGGGGCTGCTCGCAAACACACCTGCTCAGGCCTGGGGGCTCTGGACTCTGACTGCATGTTAGAATCTTCTGGAGAATTTTAAAAATCACTGATGGTGGGGCCATGCTGCTGACACCTGACAGATACTCGGCTCCTGCCTGGTTTCTTTTTATTTCTTGATCTATTTATTTATTGCCTGGTTTCTCTTTCATCCCCCCACCCCCAGCAGCAGAAGGTAAAATTCGGTCTCACACAGCCCCTTGGCTCCTCTTGGTCAGCACAAGTCATTCCGGCCGCCTGGGGAGGGGGGACTACAGGGGAGGGGCACCTGCAGCGGGCCCTCAGGTGGGCTTCGAAACACTGTCAGTTCGGGGCACTACCAGGTGGACCCAAACGGGGTCCAAGCTACACAGAAAGGCCCCTTCCTGCCAGCATGAGGAGGGACTGGAGGGGATGTGAGGGGGCTCGTCCAGGGAGTTTGGGAAGGTGACCGGGTCACAGAGGGACCCTGACCTGACAGGTGACCCTGGGCCATCTCTTCTTCCTTCCACAGGCCCGGGAGATCAGGGCAGACTGGGCTCAGGACCCCGGGTGAAGCCAGCCCTGGGGAGGTTGGGGATGGGGGGCTCAGGCTGTGCTGGGCCAGAGCGGATGCCTCTATCGCTAAACCTGGCAACATCCAGGCCTGGGTCCTTGCAGGGGGTGGGATCGGAAATTTCAGGGTCGGAGCCCCGGGCCTGAGTGTCCATCCTGGGCTGAGGAGGAGAGACAGAACCCGGTCACTATGTGCTGCTGAGGCCCTCGCAGGCCCATGGGGAATCCCTGTCGCAGCCGGCAGGGAAGCCCAGTTGGAGGTCCTGGAGAAGGGGCCGGGCAGGGCCCTGTGTGGAACTGCTGCAGGAGGCACAGGGCTGGAGGGGCTGCACTGCCCTCCTCCTTCTCAGAGATGGGTGGTGCCAGTGTGGACACAGCCTCTCTCCTTCTCTCCGCAGCGGGGGTGTGAGCAGAGACTGGACTGGCGTCCCCAGGAAGCTGTACAAGCCAGGTGCCAAGGAACCCCAGTGCGTGTGCGTGAGAACGACTGGCCCCCCTAGTGACCAGACGCCAGACACCACTATGCACAGAAATCGTGGGGACTTGGACCACCCCAGCTTGGGGGAGTACAAAGGCTGCCCACCCCTGGCTGTCGCATGCTCCTTCCCACCCTAAGCTGTCACCCGGCGTGGACAGTGCACAGCGAACCCTCCTCTTAATGGCCTCGTGTCTTTGATGCTCCTGATTGGAGACAATGACTCTGGCCCACCCTCTGCAACAGTGACTCGTGCTGCCCTCACCTCGCTGGTGCCGGTGGCCGGAGCTCAGGCTAGCAACGGTCAGCCTGCCTGGCGCGTTAGTCCATGTGCCGCCTTCCTTCAGAGCCCTGAGGTTCCCACAGGCACAAGTATGACTAACTCGGACTGGACAAGCAGGCAGAGAGCTCTGGATGCCCGTGGCCACATTGTTGTGCCGCTCCCCTCCCCCGGCTGCTGGAGCAGTGGCCAGGAGCTCTGGGCCCTGTCTGTCTTCAGCCTTCCCAACCCTGGCAAGGCATCTGGGGCCCAGACCAGGAGTGCCCCATAATTCCCCAACAACGCTGAGCAGACATACACCCCCGCCAAAGCTCACAAAGCTGTGAGCCCCGACTTATAGCTGTACCCCGAGGCAGACCTGCTGAGAACCTGGCTGGTGCATGAGTGGTGGTAATAAAGTGATCGCTCTTTGAGAGGCTCCTGGGAAAGCAGCATTCCAGACGCTTCTGAGCAAAGCAGCACTTTGAAGCAGAGCTCCTGTCTCACGCGTACTCACCACCAACCACGCGTGGGTGTTTTCAACAGGAGTCTGCATTCTGAGCCAAAGATGGTTTCACAGCCCTCACAAGGTCGTGCCCTATCCACACCCATCCACCCAGCCCCAACGTCAGGGCGCCTGGCTTGCAGCTGGTCCAGTAGGCTGTCCGTCTGTCCCAGGCAATGTGCCGCCTACTACCTTCCACAGGGACACTTCAGGTCCATTCTTCTGTAAGGCCTGTTTCCATGTCACAGCAAAGGGATCGGGGACTGGTTGGTGCAGGCCCAGGCTCACGGTCTCTCCTCAGCGCCTTTTCCCAGTCCCCTAAACTGGAGCCCTAAACATGGGCTAATCTCCTTGCCTTTGTCCCCTCCAGGATCAACCTCACTAATGGAGTCAACGGGCTCCCTGTCCTTGCTGCCACAGCCGCTCCGGACTCCTGGGCCGCTGTGGCCCTGGCTCACCGCCTCTGCTTGTACCTCTAGCTTCTCCCTGCCACCTGGCTCTCCCCCCAAGTAGGCAGCAAGTAAAAACAGCCTAACTCAAACATTCCTTCCACATCACACACTTCTGTAGGCTCCGGGTCCATGTCTGGTCATAGCAAGCTTCTTGAAAGGCCGCTGTAGCTCCCGGTCTCTGCTCTTCACTCCTGTGGGATGCAGCCCCTCAGTCAAAACGGGTCCTTAGGAATGGGGTGAGCAACAAGGGCCTAGGAGCGGGGGAGCAACAAGGAAGAAAAGGACGACAGACAGTGGGGCGACAGGAGGGTCATCCCCGATGTCAGACGAGAGCTAATTCATCTTTCAACGGGCTTATGTAGTCCTGAGGCTTGCAAGCCTCCGTAGGTACAAGCTTAATAGAGTAGGCAGGTAACAATGAGTCAGCGGTTTAACCGTGGCTGTCCCTGAGCTCTCTCCAGGGGAACAATCTGTGATCAGTATCAGACAGAGACTCAGAAGGGTCAGCAGCACTTTGGGTGGGACAGGCAAGAGAACCTGATTGCTCTTAAGAGACAGGCAGCCTCCGGGTGCCTAGTGAGTATCCTTTATGGCGCACCTTTATGGAGCGCTATTGTGGGGGCATCGTTCAGTGGTGAGAAAGTGTATTTGACTTCATCTCCATCTCAGAATGGTGGAGATCTTGCTCCAACTAGAGCCAGTCGGTCCTCCATGCCCTGTCATTAAAAGAGTAGAGATGAGGCCGCCTACACTCTCTTTTCAGGTCCTGTTTCCCACACACTCCCCACACTCTGCCCAGCATAGTTGCTGTGGCGTCTGCCCTTCTCTCCCCTGGAGAGTTCTGACCCACATGGGACTTCCGTCCCATTGGACACTGTTGGCCCTAAGAGTCCATGAAGCCTGCCCAGGGATTTTCCCTCATCGCCCTTTCTGTCCTCCGGCTGTCCCTTCTCAGTCCCCACCAGCCCCTTCTCGCTGCTCGGTTCCCTCCAGCTGCTGCTGTCCAGTCTGGGCTGCTCCCCAGGGCACTCCTGCCTCTCACGTCTCACTGCCATTGAGTGGCTCCGACTCAGCCACCTGGAGAGCAGAGAACTGGCCCTCGGGCTCTCTGAGGCGATGGAAACTGAAAACCTCTTCTGGGAAGTAGCTGGTGGGTTCGAACTGCTGCCCAATGCCTACCCCGCAATGCCACCAGGGCTCCTGAGCAGTTCTGTAGGCCCCTCAAACACCATGGTTCTGGCATTCGATGTTCGCCTGGGCTTCCCATGATTCTAGTTCTGAAGGTGGCTGGTACCACCATCACACACACCCAGTCCTGCCAAGTTAGAATCGCAGCAGGTACCTTCCCGCCCCGCACCCCAACCAATCTCCAGTCCTGGCAGTTCTTCCTCCTCGGTCTTTCCGGCCCAGTGCTCCTCTGGTTTAGACTGCCCTCTCTCTCTCACCTGGTCGCTTCAGGAGCCTGGCTGTCCAGTCCTCCTGATCATCCTCCACAGCGGCCAGTGGTCTTCATGCTCATGGGAGGCATTCCCCTAGGGAACGGCCCTCAGTGCTTCTCCAGAGTCGTCAGGACCAGGGGATAGCTCTTCTTTCACCTCCCAGGCGCTGCTAGCCGCTGCCTCTCTCCACCACCACACCCCCCCTTCTCTCCAGCTGCAGGACGCCTGCTCTGCTTCCGCCTGGTTTCTCCAAGACACAGCTCAATCCGCACCTCTGGGGAGCCCTCATTAACCCCCAGCTCAGCCGCGGATCTAGAGTCCCAGAGGCCCCCGGGATAGTGTTTCTGCTCACTCAGCCTGGGACCCCAGTCCTTCGTACCCAGGGGGCAGAGTTTGTGACAGAGGCACACGCAGCCTCGGAGGACCTCAGACATTTGTCCAGGGTCCCAGGGCAGTGGAGCTGAGCCTGGCTCTCCAGGCCCTAATCCAGGGGTGGGGTGGAGGTGGTGGTGTTTCAGTCCTCCCCATCCGGCTGCCTATCCTGCAGCAGGGAGGGTAGGATGGGGCTGAAACTAGGACCTCCTCCTGAGTTCCAACCAGCCAAGGCCCTCTGCTCCAGGCTCCCTGGGAAATGGTGCCTTCTAGAGTTACCCAGCAGTTATTTGCATCAAGGGTGGGAGCTGGCGGGGCATGGGCTAAGCATTGGGCTTCTAAGCGGGAGGCCTATGGTGGACACCCACCCAGCTCCATTGGACGGAGGAGGCTGACTGCTCTGTAAAGATTCACTGACAGCCTCACACTCCGTGTTCTCTGTCCCACAGGGCTGCTGAGTTGGGGAGACTTCCAGGCCAGGCTTGAGAGGCTCCATTTATGGCCCATGGTGGGCAGAGGGTGGCACACATGTGGTCATCAGAAAGGAGGCCTTCTCCTGGCTCTGCTCTGCCCCATCAGTGAGCAGTTAAAGCCAAGGTGGGGACCCCTACGTGTCCCTCAGTATCTTGGAGAAGACGTCACCTGACTTTCCATTCTGAGATTCCATCTTCCCATGAGCCGATGACGAGTGAGGAATCTGGCAGTTGTTGGCCACAGCTCAGCCAGTGCACGAATGAGACAAGACACAGGTCATGTCAGACCGACACCACTGCCCTCTGCTCTGGGACAGGACAAGCTGTGATTGAATAGCGAGGCCCGAGAACAGGGGGGTGCTGGGTGCCGTGTGTGCATAGAAACTGAGGAGCACCCTGATGGACTACCCAGGGCCACGCCCCACCCTTGAGGGCTCTTCTTGCCTCCGGTGGCCCTGGATTCCTTCAAGCAGGAGGTGAGCTAGTGCTGCAGAGCCTCCCAGGAGGGGCCCTGGGTCGTGCCCCTGGCTAGGAGGAAGCACTTATTACCGGTCACCTTCCTTCAGCAAGCCTGGGCCAGAGAGAACCCTGGTTACCTCATTTCCTAAAGCGGGTAAGGATCACGGATTAGGAAACATGCCCCAAACTGACAATGACAAATCAGAACTCAGGCCAAAAAAAAAAGGCACGCGATTGAGATTCATCTGAGTGTAACTGCACATCTTATCGTCTCCAGCGTCGTTTTGTTCTCCTCGGTTACAGCAGGGGTAGACGTGTCTTCAAATGGGCATCTAAGAAAAGCTGGCCAAACCTCCAAAGAAAAGCAGCTCATCTCAGGGCTAATAAACATGCCAGCAGTGACTGCAGACCAAGGGGACTCCTGGTGGCACAGTGGTTATGCACTGGGCTGTGATCCACGTCAGCACTGGGAGACCACCAGCCGCTCCACGGGAGACGGGCTTTCTACTCTGCTGAAGCGTTAGTCTTGGAAACTCCTGGGTAGCAGGCTACCCTGTCTTGCAGGGTCACTGAGTTGGCATCGACTCGCCGGCAGTGAACGTGGGTTTGTGTGTGGTCTCTGAGGCCAAGCACGTCAGGAGCCTCATTTGGCAAACATGCTAGAAACCACCACCCTTGCCCTGGGCAAAAACGTGCCCAAGTGGATGGGTGCCAGCTCCCATGTGCAGCGGCAGAGTGGTCAGCGCAGTCTGTCCCGGAGACTGGCTATGTGGAGTCCCCAAATAGTGCCCACCAACTATGAGAGGAAGACCACGGGGGATGAGGGGGTGGGGCGAGGTAGCCTGAGAGCCGGGTCAACTGGGATGAGCAAGGACTAGGGTGAGGAAACATGAGGGCCAGGCGTGCTAGGTTTGTGGGGTTTGATGGATCGCCAGATTTCAATTCGCAAGCCCCCAAAGCTCCAATAGGAGCCCTAGTGGCGCTATGGGCTAAGCATTGGGATAGGGACCAGAAGGTCAATGGTTCACACCCCATGGTAGAAAGATGAGACTGCCTGCTCTCGTAAGGAGTCATGGTCTTCTACTCTGCCCCACAGGGCCGCCACGAGTCAGAATGGGCTGCTGGCAGTGGGTGCTTGGCATTTGGAAGGTTCACTAGCCATTTCCAAAGCCCACTGTTCCTTCAAACCTTTATTACAACACAGCTCCTAAATGATGGTGCCGGAGAGGCCATTTCTGGGGTCACCCATCACACACCCCTGCACGGCTGGGCCAGGAGCGCCGTGCACTCAGTCAGCTGGTCATTACGTCCACTGTAGTTAGTTTCCTTTTGGATCTTCCTGGGAGACGCTTGAACTCACCCTCTGCTGAAGGGCAGCTGTTCAAGCAATGTGTTTGTTTCCAATGCTTACCAACTGACCCGTCATCTACACGTCTCACTGAAACGTCCACTGCAAATGCACAATTTTACCCCATTTTATTATATTTTATTACATTTTATTATAAGGACTTGTTACAGAAATTGCAATTATCAATTGTTTGAAAAATACATTCCATTACAAGGACTCCAGAGAGACAATACCCCACTCTGGGCACCAACTCAGAGCGGGCTGGGAGCCTCGGTGATGGCCCCGCCCGCGTGCCTGCCCAGCCTCAGCCCAGCCCCTGCCTCCCCAGTGGTACCACAGAGCACAAGCAGGAATGTCATGCGGACAGCTGCAGGGCGAGTCCTGGAGCCACGGCAAGCCCCATCAAGACTCCCCGGCGACAGAAAGTGCCTTGTCAGCTGTAACAGGTTCAGGATTCGTTTATGCCACAGGAATATGGAACTATTCCGGCAATGATCTTCCGAAGTCTTTAAGGCATACAGGAAACGGTCTGGGCGTTTTCGTACGAGAGAGCAATTTGTTAATATCTTGTCACGCAATCAGCTATTCACGAAATTACTTCCACGAAGCAAGGGTGCAGCTTCCTGATCCCTTTTAGAGAGCGGCTCCCCATCTGCTTCCCTTTTCTCTCCTGGGGCTCCAGGCTCGGAGGGGCTGGACACGTCAGGCCCGGGCCCAGTTCTTCCGGACTTGTTGTTCCGGAGGGAAGCAATCACAGACTCCAGAAGGACGCTTCTTTCAGGCACTCCCTGGACCTGCGAGCCGAGGGAGGCCCCCGATGTACTTGTTACCATTACTGTCAGCGAGTCAGGTAGTCTGCCTTTCAGGCGCCAAGCTTCCCTTTCCTCCAGATACAAGCCACCTAGATGGAGGTCCCGGCTCTGCTGCCTCCCCTCTCTGCACTCCCCCTCCACCCCATGCCTACAGACAAGGCTGACACAACAACGGTCAACACGACAGGTGTGGACATGAGATGGGGTGCGCGGTGAGACCGCAGGCACACTGAGCTCATGCAGGGCCCTAGCCGGGGAGCTGAGAGGCTTGGGGCTCTGAGGTAGAGGATTCAAGGTCTTGGGGATCCTGTGGGTAGAGGACATGGCAAGTGAACTCAACCACCGAGGCCGGCCTCAAGGCCACGCACCACTGGTGCGTGCGTGCGTGTTGGGGTGGGGGTGGAGGGCATTGCATTGAAACCCGGTCCTGATCCGCTGCTCTGCAAGACACCACTAGAAAGAACTGAGAGCACGTCCGAGGGTAGGCACTTCAGTTTGGGGGAGACCCCTGTGTTGGAAGAACGGGGAGGACGAATTGGTGTAAGCCATTCCATCTGTCCACAGCACTCCTGTACCTTCCTCTTTGAAAACCAATGCAGGCTAGGAGAGCCGGCCTGGTCTACTTGCACCCCTGGTGGTGAGGGGGAGTCGGTGAGGGAGCCGGGAGACCAGGACAGTGCCGGCTGATGCCGCCGCCAGCGCTCAGCATTCTTCCTGTGCAGCTCATTCCCAGGTGACTCCTTTCTGAAGGAAGGAAATGGCGACCAGTGTTTGCTACCGGTACTAGGCTGCTGACGAAAACGACGAAAATGGGAGGAGGGCAGTTGGGCAGTTTTGTGGACAGAGCATGGAGAGCAGCGTGGCCTTGGCCGGCGGTGACTAGTGGGGGGGCAGCCTCCACTGGGCAACCTCCGGGATGTGCCCCATGAGCTTCGGCGTGGTCGGGCAGGTGGAAAGATGCTCTCCGGATCTATCTACAGGAATGTACCCTGAACCCATGCAGACGCAGAGCAATCCCCCCAGTATGGGGCTGCTCAGGACATAGCCGCAACCTATACTCTGGGGGGGAAAGAGGCTTGGCTCAGTATTTTGAACATGACCCTCGGGACTTCAAGGGCAGTTACAGGCAAGACCCCTATGAGATGGGTGTGGTAGGGAGCAGGCAGGCTGAGCTGCCTCCACCCTGATGGACTACCATTTTCCCCTGAACATGCACACAACGATATAAATCGACCAGCCGCCTGACTTCACAGCTACAACAGAATTACCTTCCCTGCTTCCCCGTGGCTGCCCCAGGCCAGACCCTATGCCTCACAGGGGCCCTGGTTACAGGTTTGGTTAGTAGGTGAGTTTCTCCGTAAAAACTTCTATGGAAAACAGAAAAACTTCTATGAAATAAGTCACAGATTTAGAGGGGGGTCGGGGACCTCTTCTAATTAGTATTTTCCTCTTCGACATTGTGCACAGCTCATATTAACACAGACTGCGTATACATCTTATGAAGCACAGAACTCCTCTGTCTGAAAGGCAGCACTCTGATTCACCAGCTCATCTCACACGTGCACTTTGGGCAGTGGAACGTGTGAATCTACAGCAATACAGCGGGCACACCATGCTCCCCAAAGGAAACAAAGCCAACAGAAACTGCAGGCTGCTGCAAAGAACAAAACAAAAACCCACTTAGTCCCTCCAACGCTTCCACCCATATGTCAGTAATGCCAAAACAACGTAGTGGTTGTCTGAAAGCCAGTGTGTGGTGACTGCGGCGGTCAGCGTCAGTCAGGCCACCCCACTCGTGCTCCGTCGCCTCAGGATCTCAGGGCAGGGAGGGTGTTTTGTTTTTAAAGCCGGAGTAGACCTTTCTCTTCAAACGTGCACTGAAGAACAAAAACTGGCCAACCCTTCCAAAGAAAAGGAGTTTAACACCTCAGGGTCAGTCCACGTTAGCCGTGACTGAGGACCAGCGCAGGAGCCCCAGTTGGCACTCGTGCCAGAATCTTCCAAAGCAGGGCGGCCCCGTGTGGCAGAGCACGATGCCAGGAGCTGGGCCCTCAGTGCTCACAGCCCAACGGGGAAGGTTCCAGCAGGCGGCTCTCTGGTGGGGGAGGCGCGCGGTGGCGGCTGCAGTCCTGTCGCGGTGCTGCCTCCATGGGCAGGTGGCGGGGTGAGCCTGCCCTGTGCGCCTCGGGGGAGCACGGTCCAGCCCGAGCTGTCCCTCAGAAGCGCAGGGACCAGGACACGGGAGGGCGGGTCTCGCGGGGCCTTTCTCAATCATCGCCCCCGTGTGAAAAGTGCAGCACAGTCAAAGTGCAACGTCTCTAGCGCCTTGTGCGGAGGGGCCGAGGGCCCCCAGGGCCACCTCACCTCGGGAGAGGGAACGCCAGTAAAGCTTTCGGGTGTTAAGGCCACAATGTTTCAGCTCTCATCTTTGAACCCTGTGTAGAAAGATTTCGCCCTTTTCAAAGGGATAGCTCACTAAAACACAGCTTAGCTTAAAACAAACCAACAAAAACAAAACAAAGCATTCGGAGCAAGAGAATCCTATAGTCTGCATGAAGACACTGCAGAAACCCCACAGCCGCCGGCCTGTCCCCAGGGCAGCTGGCCCTCGCCGCGTAGGGGTCGGGCTGGGAAGACCCTGGAGAGGGGAGAGGCCTTAGAAGCGTCTTCACCCAGGCTAGCAGAGTGGGCCGGGGTCCTCTCAGCTACTACACGGGCGAGAGGGTCAGGTCCAGCGCGCGACATCGATGACATCCGGCACACTGACAGTCACTGGGGTTATCTGAGTGGGATCGATCACACGTGGTCCGCGGTTGGCCCAGTCCGAGGAAGACAGCCCCAGCTCTGGCTCGGGGAAGACGAGCTGGGGAGCAGAGCAGCTGTGGGGAGAGATGTGGCAGGCTGGGCTGTCCTGGCTCACTACGAGACCCCACCCAGAGTCAGCACGTCAAAGCAGATGTTGCAGACGCGCACAGGCTTGTTCAGGTCGAACTTGATGATGGGGATCTCCTTGGTGGAGCACTTGTGGCACAGAAGGCGGCCGCAGTGCCGGCTGTGGAGGCAGAGAGGAGGGATGGGCGTATGGGAGAAGGAAGGGCAGGTGCCTGCTCAGCGCAGAAGGGTGCACTGCACCTCTCTCTGCCCCTGCCACCCACGTCACAACAATTCAAGGGCTATTTTCATCCCATGCAAACAAGATTCTTCCCCAAACCAAACCCACTGCCACCGGGCCGATGCTGCCTCAGTGACCCTGTAGGACAGGGCAGAACCGCCCCTGCGGTTCCGAGACTGGAACTCTGGACGGGAGTAGAGAGCCCCGCTTTTCTCCTGCAGAGCAGCTGGACGTCTCGATTGCATAACCACGACACCAGGGATCCCCAAACCTGGCCAACCAGTATCCCAGTGATGTGACCGAGGATCTGGCGTGCATGGAATCACTTCTCCCCAGCTGCGCCCCGGCACTCAGGCAGTGGCTCACTGCGGACTGGCTCACCACTAGCCTGCAAATAGCCCAAGACCTGTGACCCACAGCTCCCCGGAAGCACCCCCACCCCACCCCTGCACTGCCCCGTATCACTGCCTCCCTCCCAGCCTGGCCCTGGCAGTGCATGGTCCCACTGGCTCAGCGTGGCCGCAGACAGAGGGAAGGCCACCTCTTGCCGGGCTCGGGGAGCTTATCGTGGGAAGGAGGCAAGCGCTGGCATCACAGAAGTCCCCTCGCCCCTCCCTCTGGGGGTCTCACCAGTGGTGTTTGCGCGTTGTGACTCCAAACTTGGCGGCGCACTCGTAGCAGTTGGAGCCGTCGCACCACGGCGGTTCCTTGGACAGCATGTCTGTGGCACAGGCGGGAGAAGGCGCGTTAGTGTGTGCGCCGGCCTTGCAGGTGGCGGGGAAGCAGGCCTGTCCAGACAGCAGCACCTGCCCGGGCTGATGACGGGTGGACACGCTGGCCCTGGCTCAGCAGCTCCGAGAGACGACGGAGAGCCGGTCCCTGGCCTGCAGACCGTGGGGGTCAGTGGGGAGGGTAGCAGGGGAGAGCAAAGACCACCAGTCTGGAGAGATGGGCAGGGGCCGAACGATAAAAGGGAAGAGAGGAAGAGGGGCCAGCGTAGAGACAACAGGGCAGCAGGAACGGTAAGAAGTGGGGGGTGAGAGGAAGGAGACATTTCCAGGTTTGGGGGCGCAGACAGCATCTGCGGTGGGGATGCCAGTGAAAGAGTCGGGGCCTGCGAGCAGGGTGGGCTGAGCGTGAGGAGTGGAGGGGACACTCAGGCGTGCACGGGGACACGGGGAATTCAGTATCACAGAAGCCTGGCCTGGGGCTGGCACTGGGAAGGAGCACTGGAAATGGCAAGGAGAATTCACTGACCACTAACTACATGACATCCCTGCTCCACACCAGCGCTGGCCAGCCACCTCTGAGCCCCCAAGAGGTGCGGGGCGAGGTGGTGTGACCAGCTGGAACAGGGACACCCAAAGTACATCTTCAGCACGGGTTTCAGCGGTGGGGATGGGGCCTCTGCTGTGCGTGGTGAGGGCATGGGCAGGGAGGAGGCGACGTTCCATATGCCGCCTCTACAAGTGCCGCTCTCCTCACCCCAGTGAGCCTGAGGCTGATGCAGAAGGCAGTTCTGAGGGCGACACAGCAGGGCCTGGTCAGGCAGAGCCAGCAAATGTGGGAGGGGGCTGCCTGGGGCGGAGGACTTCTGGCAGGTTGTGAGCGCCTGGAGGGCCCACGGGTCCCTGTGTGCTCCCACCTGAGAAGGGAGTGTCCCGTTGCAGCTCCCCATCCTCATCGCAGTCACAGATCAAGTCCGCCATGCTTCCAGGGAAGCCCTGGCTCTGAGCGCACGCCCAGTGGGTCCCCCCGGGGCTGGAAGCGCAGCAGTGCAGCCGGCCAGCCACTCACACTGGAGCACCAAGTCAGCCACTCACCCAGCAGTCTGAAGAGCAGCTGCTTGGTGGCCACCTGGTAGTTGAAGATGTTGACCCCCTGGTTGTTGTTCACTCCGAGGCGTGCCCCAGCTCGGACGATGGCCCGGCATAAGTTGGCATTGCCCTTGATGTACGCCAAGAGCAGCGCTGGAAGACAAACCAAAGGCAGGGTTACTGCCACCAGCCCCAGCACGCACGGCCACAGAAGCACAGGGCTGAGGCTTGGCAGCACCTGCCAACTGAGGAGCTGGCCGCTGGCTCGTGGCCCGGGCTGAAGGTGTGGTTCCAGACGGCCCGCCTTGGCCACAGCCTGCCCTCCCATCAGATGCTGATGGATGTCTGTCGTGGCCTCAGATGCCGAGCACTGATGGGAAGCAGTGGTTTCCCCACAAACGGCAACTCTCTTTTCACACCACACAACGCACACAACCCTAAAGAGTTGTGGGTGTGGCCACACAGCTCCAGAATGTTCCCCTGCAGGGAGCCCTTCTCTACCGTCGCGCCTGCAGGCCCCCTGTGCAGGCAAGCACAGCTACCAGCAGCCCTTCTTTGCTTTCCAATGCTCTCCTCAATTTTCAAGTCAGGCCTGCAGGTGAGCATTAGCACGGGAGGGTCACCGGCACTAGGAGCCTCCGGTCTGTGTGAAGTGGGCAGCTTTGCATAGAGCCCCTGGTTGCTGCTCACGGGCTTGCCTGGTCAGCCCAGCAGCTTCCTCCCAGGCCCGTCACTGCCGGCTGAAAGGATCTGCTGTAGAGCTCTGCCTGGAGCTGGTGACAGAAGACGTGGCCCCAGCTGTGCTTCCGGACAGCTCTTGGTGACTACGCGACACCTCCCCGCAGGCCTGGAGGCTCGGCTGGCAGGAGGCTGAGTGAAGGAACGGGACCTGTCGCTGCAGCAGAGCATGCACAGAGCCTGAGCTTGGAAGATGGGCTCGGGGTTCACCTGGGCCTCTTGTTTTCTCTGTCTGACTGAAAACGGGGACCCACTGAGTACACTGCTCACCTTACCGGGTTCTGTGAGTGTTCAGCAGAAAATGAACACAGGTCTTCAGAGATAACCAAAGCACAATGACTACTTGGGGGTAGAGGGGCGTCCCCATAATAAAACATGTCACACACACACACACACACACACACACACACACACACACGGCGTGCCACTTTCTCAAAGCACAGCAATGCACCCTGTTGTATACTCACTCGTTCTTCTGGAAGCTTCTGGAATGAAAAAGCGTGAGCAGGGTGCTGGCTGGCAGACAGGGCAATAAAAGGAGTAGATAGCCCTCCCTGCTTCTTCGGGCACAGGGGTGACTTTGGACTGGGGGGGGGGGGCGAGCGCAGTGGGCTGCTAACCAAAGTGCTGATAGTTTGAACGCTCCCAGGAGCTTGGTGGGAGAAAGGCCCTGTTTCCATCCAGATGGAGAAAGCCCCCGGAAGCTGCTCTGCTCTGCTCGTCACACACAGGCCGCCACAAGTTGGTGGCCGACTGGCCGGCAGCCGACAGCATCTGGACTTTGGAGCTCTGGATGCACCCGAGGAGCGGTTCTGCCCAAGACCCGACACGGCTGGGTGTGCGCCACAGCAGGGAGGTGTGACGGGGGACGAGGGAGCCGGCCCTCAAAAAGACTCCCGTGTTTCCCGGGAGCAGGGAGCTCGCGCGAGACAGGGCACAGCAGCACCTCACCACGCACCTGTGTTTCCTTCCGAGTCTGGCTTATCGAGCGGGTACTCGGGCATGCACTCCAAGAAGAGCTCAAAGATGGCGGCCGCGTTCTCTTTGCCGTATTGCCCCAAGATGTGCAGTGGCGACTGGCCCCTGATGAGAGAGTGGGGGAAGGACGGTGACGGCGTGGTCATCATGGGGAAGAAAGGGCGCTTTCTGAACTCTGAGAAGCTGGCTGAGCGCTGAAGGAGACGGGCCAGCCTACCAGAGTGTGCTTAGGGAACACAAGTCCCAGTGGCCGGTTCCGCAGTGTGACCGCCAGCTCTGAGGTCTCGGAGCCCCCGAGCAGGTCAGCGAGCTGCACGCACCTGAGGTTGAAGGCCTCGGCGTCCACGTTGCACTCTGTCAGGAGGACCCGGATGTTGTTGAGCCGGCCGTGCACGACAGCGAGGTGCAGAGCTGGGGAGAGGAGAGCCCAAGTGGGTGAGCACAGCAGCACACAGGAACCTCGACGCCACCTCTCTCCCAAAGCGCCCCTCGTCTGCACACCCCTCATGAGCCTCTGCTTTCTGTTCCAACAATGATCCAGAGATGGGATTTACTCGTGCCGCACGGAGCCATGCGAGGGCTATGGTGACCGATAGACTAGGGGCTGCCCAGGGCCTGGCCAGTGACAGGCTGGACGCCCAGTTCGGGGCACTTCCTGCCAGAGCTATGCTCTCGTTGACGTCCACCACCCAGAGGGACACACTGCCTCCCCCAGAACGGAGGGTGACGGAGGCACCGGCACGTCCAGGGGAAGCACGCATCACCATTATTGCCGTTCTCATCCACAGCGGCAAAGTCCACTTCATTCTCCAGCAGGACCGAGCAGATGGTGGGCAGGTTCTGCTGCGCAGCGAGATGGAGGGCGGTCTGCCGGTGCTTGGTTAATTCATTCACCTTGGCTCCTGCAAGAAGCTGTTCCAAGTTGATCACATGAGCAGTCGCTCACACCATACCCAGACCCCGCGCTTACGGCAGCAGCTAAGGGGCCTCCCAGGATACACTCCTGCTGCCGCTGCGGGCCATGGCCAAACTCTTCCCAAGCACCAACCCTCAGACACTGCCAACGAGCGGAGAACCGGCCCCTCAAGACACACACATTGTGCTTCTAGAAAAGCAGGTGTCTACGCTGGGCTGCCTCGCCATGCAGGAAGGGCTGCTGCAGGTCGCTGAGACTCTCGGCAAGGGACAACCTTGGCTCTCCAAACAACACACCAGGAGCCAAGAAGAGGACGGCAATTTAGATGTTCACACAGATGTCTGCAATGCAGTGAGTAAAGCAACAGAAGACTGTACACGTGGTTCCATTCGGAGACACACGCACACGCTCTCTCTGAAGGTATGCTCAAGAGCACGTGTGTCGGTGGTGGTGGTGGCACTTTAAAAAGCAGGTGGGAAAATCCCAGTATCTTTCCATCTATTTTCCATATGCTTCTGGAAGCCCCCTCATGCACCAAATTCAGAAGACAATTGGGGTAAGATGGAGCTATTTCCTGTTTGTTTGTTTACCTTCTCACTGTATCGCGTACTGTTATTACACACGCACTAGCGTCCCCCTCTGAACAGTATTAACTTTGCTGTGGTTGAGCATGTACTTGGTGAGACATACACTGATCCAGCAGTCACACTGTTCACCGGAGTAACTCCTGGAGTTTTCTGAAAACCCCAGTGCTGAGCTTAGCCAGTTCACAGTGCCTGCCAGAGCCTCACGCTCGCTCCCCTAGGAGCTCTCTGCAGGCGTCCGAGGGAGCACAGCTGGGCACGTCAGCCCACCGCTACCCCAGACCCACTGCCTCACTCTCCATCCGTCCCCCTGGCCACTGCCTCACCCCGGCCTCGGCACTGGTGGGGGCAGATGAGGGGGCAGGCCTGCCCCTGGTGCACGCCCACCATGCTTCTGTAAATGCTCTCTCAGCTCAAACACATGACAAGACATAAAAGGTTTATACAGATAGATAGATAGATAGATAGATAGATAGATAGATAGATAGATAGATAGATAGATAGATAGATAGATAGATAGGTGTACAAATATACATATATAAATTCACAGGTACCGAAGGCTGGTCGGAAAAAACAAACGAGTAAATAGAAAACCAAGCCTTGGTCAAGCTGGTTGCGTGTCCCATGGGCCTGAACTGAAAGGTAGGCTCTTTGCTCAGGCCCAGGCTCTCTGACCCCGACATGTACCATGGTTTCTCCACTCCTGAGGAAAAGGGTGCACCCAGTCCTGGGTCTGAAACACCCCCCCACAACTGGGTCTCTCCCCCCACCTCTGCGCCACATCTCCAACTTACTACTCGCTACTGCAAGGCCACCAGCTAAAGGCTTCTTCTGACAACACCTACGTCTCGTCCTCGACACCTCTGCTCACATGTCCCCGCTGCCAGGGCAGCACTGTGCGCACAGCAGAGAGCCGGCTTTTGGGTAAATGGAAACGGTTCAAACTGGTAGCTACACAACCGACCGGCTGATAACCGTGGGGACCAAGCATTCTCTGATCCGAAATGCCCTCCTTTGAAAAGGTAAGCGGCGCCCCCACCTCCCTCGGTCTGCTCCAGAATGAAGATGGCCGTGGCAGCACCGGCTGGCGCCTCCACCACTTACCAAGTTGCGGACGATAATCTCGGAGCCGGCTTGGACAGCGAGGTGCAGTGGTGTCAGCTTGGAAGAGTCCTGGACTCTGGAATTCACATTAGCCTGGACACTGATCAGGAACAGGACACTTTCAATGTCAGAGTTCTGAACTGCCACGTGGAGAAAATTCCGGCCCTTGTTATCCACCTACGGCCGTAAGTGGAAATCAGAATATTAGCAGGCTCCCTGGAAGAGTCCGCCTGAGCCCTTGTGGCACTGTGTGTTAGGCGTTGGGCTGTTATGCAAGGTTTGTGGTTCAAACCCTGCAGCTACTCCATGGGAGAAAGATGAGGCTGTCTGCTCCCCTGAAGATTTAAGTCTCCAAAATCCTACATAGGCTGCTAGGAGTCGGAACCAAACTGATGGCAGTGGGTTTGGGGGGTTTTCTTGTAAGAGTGCCAGTTGAGTAGCTGTGGGCCAGGGAGGAGGTCATTATGACCCCCCATCCCAGTCTCAATGGTTGGGGGAGGGAGCAAGCACCCGGGCCTGGGCTGGCCGGCAGAAACTGGACTTCTGAAAGCCCAGAAGCACAGGGGAGGGCGGGCACTCGGACATTGGCGAGAGTGTGCAGACCAGCCTTGCTCTGGCCACACCCAGCACCCAGCACCCTAGTCCTGGAGCCATGTCGACAGCTGCCCCCGAGCAGTCCAGCATAGCGCATTTCTGGCTTCAGCAAGTGGCCTCTGCTGCCGAGGCACGGATGAGAGAGACAGCCTACGTCTGTGATGGAAACCTGCCAGAAGGCTGCTCCAATCAGGCCAGACACACTGGGGGTTCCAGTCGTCCCGAGTGTGAGGGGGACACCATCACACATACCACCCTCTCACACACCCACAAAAGCTGCTCGAGAATCCACCGACAGCATCCTCTTCCATATCACGGCGGGTGGAGAGGAAGCCGCTCTCCATTCGGGAGCACCTGACACAATCTGAGGGAGTGTGGGGTCCCCCCTGCACCAGGCACTCATGGGCCCACCGTGCCAATTCCACTGCATGCAGGCCTCAAGTCCCCCCTGTGCCACTCAGAAACCTTGGCGGTATCCCAAGTGCTGGTTGGATTCAGGATCCGTAGCAAGTTTCTTTCTATTGGACTAATTTCATGCTCTGAGTTTGGGTCAGTGTTAATGCCCTCGGCACCCCCCCACCCCCCTGCCCCAAGCTCAGGGCTGCAGAGCAACCAGTGACCGGGAGGGGAAGAACCTCAGCAAGGCCCACGGTGCCCGCTATGCTGAACAATCACAGCATGGGCTCCTCTACAACGCTCGGGAAGGTGCCCCAGCACCACACACAAGCTCTTCAAGTTCAACTTAAAAAATTTTAAGACCTTCACTGTTAGGGCAATTAAGCAACCAAACAAAAGCAAAGACTAAACTTCACTGTACGCAGCACAGTTTGTGTTCCTGGGCCTAGCAAGCAACCTCTTTCCTTAGTCCAAGGGGGTCACGTTATCAGGTGGTGGGGCAGCTGAATCCCAACTAACACCAACCAGACATCTCAAAGCACCAGTCAAACCCAGGGCCGACCAGCAGGGATGCCAACCCACAGTGAACCTACAGGACAGAGTAGAACTGCCCGAGAGTTCCTGCGGCTGTAACTATTTATGGGAGTAGAAAGCCTCGTCTTTCTCACAGAGCGGCTGGTGGTTTCTAAATGCTGACCTTGTGATTAGCACTGCCCAATGTGTCACCGCGACGCTGCCACCAGGGCCAACAGTGACCTCCACGGAAGGGGGAGGCCCGTTGAGCTGGTGACGGGTTGGCATGGAGGTTAAGCAGGGTGCCGGGCGCTCACCTGCTCAGCAGCTCCAGGCTCTCGCTTCAGAATGGCCTCGGCCGCCTTGTTGTTCTTGTACGTCATGGCGCAGGCAAAAGGGGTCAGCCCTTGTCTGTCTCGGACACTCAAGTGGATGTCCGGGTGTGAAATCAGCAGTTGAATGATGACATTGTGTTGGCTGCTGATGGCCACGTGGACTGGCGTTCTCCCTTCTGCATCCTATTGGGCGGGACCAGGCACGATTTCAATGTCCAATTGAGAGATGGGGGTGGGGGGACAACAGAGTTGTCTCAGAGTTAGCTAAGGGAATCAACAGCCACATGTGTGACATTAGCGTTTTCTTTTCTTTTTTAATGGGAACTGGGCGAAGGTTTACAGAGCAAGTCCGTTTTCCATTCAACACGTTACTGACTGCAATCTCCACAATATAAGAGCGCGTGTCCTGCTTGCTTTCTGCGCGTCTTTCTCCCTCCTCCTCCTCCTCCACCTGGTCTCCCATCCTGCCTCCTGCAGCTGGGCCAGCGCTGCCCTTCTGCCCCCACATGGGGACCGCTCTAAGGAGTGCACAGCTCCCTGGTGGGAGTTCACCCTGTGGCCCACCATAGGCTGAGCACTGAGTCACTGGGGTGAGTCGATTCAGACCCAGTGGGTGACTAGGGGGCCATAGAGCAGGCCGGTAAGCCTCGTCTATTCTGAGATTTTGAGTTTTCTACATATTTCGCTGACTCTATCCAGTGACCTTCTAACACGGTCCCGTGCACAGCAGTGGTGGCCAGGCATTGGCTAGTTCTACCAATCTCTGATGTTCTACAACTAGTCCACCGGACTATTTTTCCATGCTCGACATCCACCTTTAATGAGGTCAAACCACAGAGGGGACTGACAGCCACTCCCCACCATGTCCAGTGGGGGCACAGCATAAACACATTTGTTAGAATGTCAGCCTTCAGGCTCAGCTCTATGTTCGACCGCTCTGTAGTCACATGCTACAATGTTGAACAGCATCAAGGCACATGCTAACTGAAATCCTGGGAGATTTCCCTAAACAGCACTCAGCTGGGGACAAACACAAACTTGCGAGGGGACTCCCTCTCCAAGAGGGAATGGAGACAACGGCCTGAGGAAGGGACGGCGGAGCCTGAACTCGTTAAGCTGCCTCAGTTGTCTGACTCGAGAGAAAGTCACAGCTAGGCCAGATCAAGGGCAAGTCAAGGCCAGCGCGGGAGCCTGCAAGTTTCCTTCTTGTAAAAGAAGCTTGTCCAACTTCTGAGGTGGCCTCCTCTCCAAAAAAGAGCACCTCCACCTACCTGGGCATTTACATTGGCACCAAACTCCAGAAGGCACTGTACGGTCTCTTCCAGTCCCCAGGAGGCTGCCAAATGCAGGGGGGTCTGCCCAGCTCTCGCTTCTTCTTCTCCTTCTCCGTTGGCACCTGGTTTCCGGGGGCTGTTCACATCGCAGCCACTGTAAGGCGGGGAAGTCAGGTTTCGGGAGTTGTGCCTCCCCCTGGCCTTGGCCCTCTGCGGAATGCACAGCAGCAACCCTCCTAAAGCCCCACCCACCCAAAGGCTGCTGCCAGGGGCTGCTCTCCTCGGCCCTGGTCCTCCAGCACTAGAGCCTGGCTGGGTTCCACGCCTAGTTGGTCTTTGGGCCAGCCTGGGCGTGGCATTGTTCAAAGCTTCCCAGGGCTTCGGCATCATTCAAAGATTGAGGAGCACTGCTCTACAGGTTCCCTGATCCACTCTGCCTCACTGCACACTGCAGCTATCCCCAAGGAGACCAGCTGGTCTCCCCGCGCCCCAGCCTCTGGCTTCCAGGTGTGAACTGGTCTGCTGTGACTGGGTGGGGCACCCACTCTCAGTGCAGGAGGCTGGTTTGGATTTTAGTGTCTTTGATCCAGGCACTGGAGACCCTGCCCTCCGCAGCAAGCCCGGCTCTCTGCCAACCTGAGGTGACAGAACAGTGACCTCCAATTGTCTTCTCCATGAAAATCATGGCAGCTAGGGGCAGGTCAAGACTGGGGGGGGGAAGGGGACCAAGAGGAGAAAACAATAATCGTAACAACAGTTGCAGGGAGATACTGGGGCTCCTCAGACCTGCGAATGAGGAAGCAGGTGGTGGCCTGGTTGTTCTCATCGATGGCTCTGTGCAGGAGGGTCTGCAGGCACCCACCAGGCCCCGGGCCCCAACATGTGGCATCGCAGCCATGTCTGACCTGCAAAAGAACACCGGTCACTCACTCACAAGCTCTGCCTGGCCCAGGGAAGTCCTTACCATGAGTCTCTGCATGCATTAGATCCATTCTCAAGCTAGACAGTGGCTAACGAGCTAATCGTTACTTTCATCTGTGCCCTTCATTAGTTTTACAAACACTGATTAAATCGGCTCTCGGCAGGTGGTTGTACTAAGTCCTTTGGGAAGAGCTGGGAGATAGAAATAAGATGTAGTACGTATTTCATTAGCGACCTCCAGAGCTGTGTTCTAGAAGGGACAGAGACTGCACTTGCACGTGTGCACATGAACCCATGAAGTCCCAGTATCACACACCTCTAATTAACAAGTAATCTCAAGAGTAAGCCGGTAAAACTCCCAGGAGCAAAATGCCTCGAGGTTACACTGAAGGTCCCCCAGAAAGTGAAATGAGGACTCCCAGGTTTACCCCCACCGTGAGGGCCTGGACACAAACCTGAAGGCTGAGGCCTTACATCACATTACCCCGTGAGGGAGAAGACTCGTGAAGAAATGCCTCACGCCCCTGGCGTCTTGGACACACGGCCCCCAAGCTCCCGTGCCCTTGGTTCCGACTTTGTCAGGTGGATCGGGTGAAGACGTAAGTACAGAGCACCTCCAGTTTCCACTCGCTCATTTGAATGCATTTGTGCTTCATCTCCTTCACGGCAATCCCCCTCAGTGGGGCACACGTACTCCACTTCCTCCCTGAACTCTGTCCTTGGGTCTCAGATGGTCCGTTATCCTCAGATGTGTGCACCTCACCAGTGTCACTGTGTGTACCCTGAACACTGGCTGAACATGGAGTCACGGGGCTAGTTCAGTTTCAGCCCTGAAGGGAGACTAAACGCCATAATCTCTGAGACCCACCAGTCTCTGTCCAACCAGTAAGCCTACTGTCTTTTTTGATTGAGTTTTGTTCCACCTTTTCCACCCACCCTATCTAGAACCTTCTAAACCAACCCCTTTCACAGCAGTTGGTAGTTTGGCATTATCTAGTTCTTCTGATCTACGGTCGTGAAAACTCATGTTCACATGGTCTTAGAGGTTTTCTTGACAAAGACAACCGGAGGTACAAGCTAACTACAAGCTCCTTTCACATGACTTTCAACTGCTCCTCGTGGGCCCAGTTTGTTCCAGGTGGATCTCTTGCCCGTCTCGTGGTTGCTACATCAGAACGAAATGCAGCACTGCCACACAACACGCCCATGTGTACGCCGAGACTACAGTCAAGCAGATCTCACCAGAGTGGACGCGATGTCCTCCAGATTATTTGCCAACGCCAGCCACAGTGGGGGATTCCCCTTCTCATCCGGCACGGACATGTCAGCTCCCCGGGTGCATATGGCGTCCACTACGAGTGGAAGCTGATTTCTGATGGCCAGCTGGAGGGCTGTCTCCCCATCCCGAGTCCTGCTGGGTGGGCACGCATACCAAACCAAAGCCAGTGTTGGTAGCTGGAGATGGAAAACAAAGGGTGCCCTCTTGGGCACTCCAGGCTACCCTTGTACACACCGCACCTTCAGGGTGTCCTTTCGCAGAGATTAAACCCGGCAAAAGCATCTGTCCCCCCAGCTTAGGAAAAAGATCTCCTTCTGGCAGACGGAAGGAACTGACCGACGTGGCTGACATCTGACAGGCAGACAGCAGCTTGTCATAGCACTTCAGCAGGATGCCAACCCAATCGCTCCCTTGACAAAGCCCGTCACCCACCAGTCACTTAACACAGGAGGTAATGACAGGTTCCGTGGGGGAAATACAATCACACAGAGAACTCACCCCCAACCCCGACTTATTTATTAGAATGTTCTTATGAAACTCCTATTGAACCGATTAGGGACTGTCCTTCCTACTGAGCTCTGTGCAGGGTAGAGAGCTTCAGACAAGCGCCATGTGCTGCCCCGAGGCAGGAGTCCACTGACGAGATGCCCTGAGGACACGGCACCGGCGCCTGCCCTCGGTGCCGCCGCTGCTTCTTTGGGTAGTAAGGAATGATGACAAGACTGCCCATCCACGTGACCTGGCATGAGAGCGGGCAGGCGGCGCCATGCCTACCTGACGTTGATGTCCGCCTGGTGCTCCAGGAGGAAGAGCGCGCTCTTGCTGTCCTGCCGCTGTATGGCCATGTGCAGCAAGGTCTGCCCGTCCGACATGGTGTCATTGATGGAAGCCCCGGAGCCCAGGAGCTGGGCTGCGATCGTGTGCATGCCTGGGAGACGAACAGGCGCTGAGAAGTGCCTCCTCGGCTTTCCCACTTCCTCAACATCTCACTGGAAGCACACACCTTGCCTTCTCAAAGCCAGCAGCTGTCCACTGGAGACACACACACACACACACTCCCCCCCACACACACACACACACTCTTCCCCTTGCCCCCAGCCACCCTCCTCCTAACCACCTGGTCTACGTAGACAGCAACAGCCCCCTGTGGTCTAGCCTTACCAGTCCATAATGCCAGGCCCAGGACAGTCTGGTCCCAGGAATCCTTAAGGCTGAAGTCCGGAATAATCTGTAAGTTGTTGGTGGCATGAAGAGCATTGGCTAAAATTTAAAAAGAAAAACAGTACTTGGCTTCGCGCCTTCCCAGGGTTCACTTTGAAAGCATTCAAGAGAACAGGAGCTCAGTTTTACCCTGGCGGGCTAGGATATATAACCATTTGGGAGATGATCAATCTTGTGCATTGTAGAAGCTCAGAAATCTACCATTTTGGAGCAAAGCTTATGGGGAAAGCACAGCTATTGAACACGTAAACCAGCAAATCTTCACTTAAGTAGACTTCTCTATGAAATACACATAAAGTGCTTGATTACTCAGACGCAAACCAACTCATTACCATCGAGCGATGCCAGTCCCCAGTAATTCTGTCGGACAGGGCAGAAGTGCCCTGTGCACCTCCACGATCGTAACTCTCTATGGGAGTAGAAAGCACCGTCTTTTTCCTGAGGAGCAGCTGGTGGTTTCAAACTGCTAACTCTACGGATTGCAGCTCAACTTGTAACCACTCTGCCACCAGGGCTCCTGCCTGATTACTTAAAAGAAGAGTTAAAACAATGCCCTGAACAGGCGTCCCTAATCAGCTCAGAAAGGACTCGTAAGAAACTGGTATGTAAGTAGCCGCTGGAAGAGGCAACAACTCTATACTCGACTACTCGTAATGGCAGGCTGCGACCGGAGCAGCCAGACGGGAATTCCCTGCCACCTACCCTTCTGCTCCAGGATGACGGACACCACATCTGGGTGGTTGTTCGCAATGGCCACGTGCAGGGGCGTCTGCAGATAGACACTGGCTGCCGAGCTGGCCGCCTCCTTCGGCAAAGGCAGCGCCTCCTCCGTCTGCAGGTTTGGGTTGGCACCTTGCTGGAGGAGCTCTGCAGTGAGGTTGGCCAGACCGTGCCGGCAGGCTGTGTGCAGTGGGGTCTCTCCCTGAGCAGGAAACAAACGGTCTGTGTCTGAGTACTTCCGGGCTGCAGTCCCCTTCTCCAGGGCCAGCCCTGCCTGTGGCTCATCCTGTCCCCAGCTGGGCTCTGGGGCTCTCATTCCCACTGCCCCTCTTCCTGTCTAGCCTGATCGCCATCCTTAGTTCCTTTGCGACATCCCAGGGCCAACGGGATGTATATACGTATGTATGTATGTATACACGTGTGTATGTATATACGTATATATTCATATATGTACATACATATATGTATTTAAAGGACCAAGAATCACTTAAACAAACGCTGCCAGCAGCAGGAAGCCTCAGCACCATGACCCAAGGTGAGTAGGGTGACTACGGGGCCATCCCTTCTCTCCAACTCCCCATCAGCAACCCCCTGCCCAACCCTGGGCCCTCGACCAGCTCAACTCAACCTCAGCTTGAACACCCATCAAGACCTCCTTCCCTGCCCACCCCTTTTAATTAGAAACATTTCACTGGTATGACAGACACAGATTCCATATTCAAAAGGTACAAGATGGAAAGTCCACTCTCACACCAGGCTCCAACACCCTCCCCCCAAAAGAGCCCTTACCACCAGTTTCACGTTCCTCTCGGGTGCAGACCATTCATGGACAAGCATGCGCAGAGACCTAGGCACATGTGTATATGCCTGTGTCCGTGTGTGTGTATTTGTTTTGTTTGCTGCTTACCCCAACAAGTGGGGACACACTTCTCACACAGCCCTGCACCTTGCTCTTCCCAGAGCTCCAGGCCAGCCACTAAGGAGCCCAGGGCTCATGTTAACCAGCACGGCCCCTTCCCTTGAAACACAACTCTTTCCACTGCACTTTGTAACCTGCACCTTTAAATTACACCTGTTCTTGCTGACTCTGTGTATTCCAGCTTCGAGCACTTCTACGAAGGTAACGGAGTCTCTTTACTCCTTGCCCTGCCTCCCACAGGCAGCCCCCACCCACCAGGGCTGTGTGGTAGCTGTGGTGAGTCCTCACAAGCATATCTTCCTCCTCCCAGCTGTCTCCGGCTCCAGCTCTTCTCCCTACACATTCCCTCAGAGGGTGCTGAGCCGGAGCTTCCACCCCGAGTCTCCCGCCCTGTGTTTGCATCCATTCACCCACGTCTGCTGGACCGCCCTGCCTGATGCTTAGACTCACACCACTCTGGGCCAGCCCCGTCTTGCACTTAAAAAATAGAGCACAGTGGTTTCCACTTCTCTTGCACTTGCTTCTGACTGCTGGAAGCAGGTCCATCCTAGTGACTCCAATTCTGCTATCACTCCGACACCTGTCCCTTTCAGTCCGAACACAGGGCCAGGCAGCTCCTTGCCTATCTGGGTGTTTTCCATCTGGCTCTATCCTGGACCTCAACAAGGTACCTGCTGAGTCAGCCAGCCAGGGCTATTGCCCAGGATTGTGGGGCGAGGGTAAAGTTGTACCTGCTGGGCCTTGGTCTAAAGACTCGCTCTGGGTATTTATGAGCCACTTAGCCTCTCAGAACCTTCCCCTGCGCTAGAAGAGGGAGTCATACATGTGCAGCATGTCTCTCCAGCCCTAACAACAGGAAGGCCTCTGGGTCCACCATGAGAGCTAAGGCCCAGTGTCCTGAGAGCTCCGCGCACAGAGAGTGAAAATAAAACCAGTGTGATCTTAACAATGAACTCATTCTCCCAGGCTGAAAACAGTGAAGTAAAAACATAGCTTTTAGTATTTCCCATATCCCAGATATGCTTACAATAAGCACTGATCCATGAGGGGACTTGGAAAAGTTCATGAAGACATGGGATTTTCTCCATGAACTTTTGACAGCCGCTCATATTTAATTAATTAATTTATTTATTTTGTGGGTTTTTTTGTTTTGTTTTTTTTTATTTTTTATTTAATTTATTTTCATCTTAACCACAACCACCCTCAAAATTAATATGAACTCCATTTGACAGATGAAGAAACTTACTATCAGAAAGGTTAAGTCACTTGCCTCAGACCACACAAGGAGGGGTTGGGGAAACTGGTAAACCCAGATATGCCCAACCCAAGAGGCTGTGTTTTCACCACAGCACAACACAGAACCTCCCCCGTCAGCCTGTGGTGCAAACTCAGGAACTGTATTGTTAAGTTGTTCTTATGGTATATCTGGTTACGGTTTGGGGATATATGCTTCATCCTCTTCAAATGCAATTACTAGACTATGAAGTATAAGACATTAATACATATATATATACACACACACACACACATATATATATATTCTTTTAAATTAGACTCTAACGCCCACAATATATCAGTTTAGGACCTGATATACAACTGCTGCCAGGAAATGCTGAATGAATCGATCAACCAGTTCAATTTGGGGATAGATAGGAGAATCTGTTTCCCTATGTGTTTTGTAAACATTGAATGCATTATTATGAAGAAAGCTGAAATAATCAGTCCCATGTTTCCCACCCTGTAGCACGGGCATTCCATCCGCAAACCAACGGCTCCCCAGCCACCATCGCACTCACCCACTTGTTCCTGTGGTTGACGTGGGCCCCATTGGAGGCCAGGAATAGAGCTGCCGCCTCGTTTCCTGCCCCTGCTGCTCGCTGTAGTAGGCAATTTCCTAGAAGACAACGGGCAAGGTCCTTGCGCCACTCATGCAGAAACAAGGCCACGTTTCCCACTGCACCCCTTCCCCCACCTTCCCTACCTCAGAGCCCACACTCAAGGGAGGTATTGCTGAAGCCCAAAGACCCTCTGGGCGTGGACATGGAGAGCGGGGAGGAGCCTGGGCGGACCCCAGGAGACATTCATTCTTCCCTGAACTTGCCACCAGCCACACGGGGATCAGAGGTGAGTTACGTCTCCTTACCTATCTGGTTGGAACAAGGTTTCTCAACGCTCCTGACATGTGGGGCAGGACATGAATTTGTTGTGGGGGCTGCCCTGTGCACTGCACAATGTTGGGTAACATGCCGGCTTATCCCACCATCAAAACCGCCCAGTCAGGGCCAAATAACCCGAGGGGCACCGTCGTGTCCAGCTGAAGACCCCCCTTAAGACACTGCGCACTGAAGTTCCACCAGAAAATGCCTCTAAAGTTAAGGTGACCAGATGTCCCGATTTTTAACAGTTTTTCCCACGTCCTGTGGCGTTTTTAAAAAGTCCCAATTTTTGGAAAGAATGCACTACAAGCTAGGGTATACGGTTTCCGACTGCCATATGACTATTTTGCCAGGATATGAGTTTTATCAATGGTGTCCCGCTTTACCAATGTTAAAATCTGGTCACCTTACCTTAAGTACTTGTTTTATCCCATGGGCCTAAATATGCTGGTTCCTGGTTTAAAAAATGCTTTGCTTAGCACTATTGTCTTTTGCCAAGTAAGATTTTGTCAGAGAGAGAGAAATAAAAAGTAAAAACTTTTCTTTTTCCTCTCAAAATGAGTTGAGTCTCAGACCAGTGTTTCACAGCCTGGATTTTCTACTGATTTTTTTTAATACAACATAAAATCACATGTTCTCTCACTACATTATTTGAATACATACCAGAACCGTAATAAGGTAAAGAAATGGGCCCAAGCATGGCTTTGTTTTCCTACCAGTTTCTCACCTCTCAGAAACAGCAGGTCAAGAATTACCGTATATACTCGAGCATAAGCCAACCCAAATATCAGCAGATGCACCTAATTTTACCACCAAAACTGCATTAAAAATGTGCTGAAAAACTTGGCTAATACACGAGTACATATGGTACTACGGGGACATCAGTGTTGAAGTGCACAATTAACACGTCTGGGCCTGGGCACACACAGGGGACTCTGCTACATCCCAGGAAGGGATGCACATTCCAGTACTTGCAAAACTGGTACACATTGCTCTGTGAGAGTCTAAAACTCAAGCCATAAATAAACAGCAAAGAGCCCCTTTTTTTTCTTCTTGTCTTTTCTTTCTCTTTAATAAATCATTTTACTGAGGGCTCTTACAGCTCCTTTAACACTCCATATATCAACTGTATCAAGCACATTTGGACATATATTGCCATCATCATTTTCAAAACATTTTCTACTTGAGCCCTTGGTATCAGCTCCTCTTTTTTCCCTCCCTTCCCTACCCTCCCACCCTCGTAACCCCTTGATAAATGATTATTTTCATATCTTACACCGTCCACTGTCTCCCTTCACCCATGTTTCTGCTGTTCGTCCCCTCCAGGGGTGAAGGGTGCTATACGCTGATCATTGAGATCAGTTCCCTGTTTGAGATGGTTAGTTTATTGTGCCAGCCTGGCCAATAAACACAAGTGGGATTGATTGAGGGGCGGAGGGATGAATGGCTCGGTGAGCCTTACCTTTCTTGTCTCTCGCTCTTTAATCATCTGACCAGTGTGCGGCTGCCTTGCTTGTTCTGTGCCTCAATTTACAGGTTACACTACCTGTGGAACGCCTAGCCTGTGGACTGTGTCGCTGTAAGTTGAGGTCCCTTTAAGACCACACAATTGAAATTTACATCTCTTGAGCTGGGGACTGAGAGTTGCTGACCTGGCTGACAGTTAGTGACCTGCCTTGCTGTTTTGCTGCCTGTGCTGGGATAGCCTAGCTCTCTCTATAGAGGACTACTGGCGGCCCTCAAGACTTGAAGGACTGCCAGTGTCTCACAACTCTCTCATGGGAGTGAGTTGCACTGAGCCATTTGTACTGCTTTATAATTTAACTGTTCATTTCTTGTATTATATATCTATCTGTTTATAATTTAATAGTTCATTTCTTGTGTTTTATGTATATGTCTATCTTTATAAATATATATATAAAATTATCAGCAATCTGGTTTTATCTCTCTAGAGAACCCTGTCTAACATACTGTTTCTCCCCCCAACTTCCCCCTACTCTCGTGGTATCATTACTCCCATTACTGTTCCTGAGAGGTTTATCAGTCCTGGATTCCATGTGTGGAGAGCTCTTATCTGTACCCGTGTACATGCTCTAGTCTAGCTGGATTTGTAAGAAAGAACTGGAGTCATGATAGTGGGGGTGGGGTGTGTGTATGTGTGTTAGGCAGAAACGGGAGTTGGTGGACAAGCAAATGCGAAAAGACCCTGGGCAAGTGAAAAACCCTCCAAGGACATTGCGAAAAACCAAACCTCCCCCTCCCCTTTGGTGACCTTCCAAACCCAGATGCAGGAGGCTAACCACTGCAGATAACATTGAACATCACTGCTTCGTCCTGGCTCTGCAGCAAAATCGCAATGGAAAATTCCCCAGCCACTCCCTCCCTAAGACCCGGGCTATAAAACTCTCCCCATCTGGCCCGGACAGCGTGACTTCCCGGGCCTCTGGGCCTCTGAGCTCAGGACCCATGAACCTTGTCCAGGAGCCCAGAACGCGCTCCCGTCCCTTTCTCTGAACTCCCGTCCCTCCCGGGCAGCACGACTTCACCTGGGAGCTCTGAAATAAACCTTCAAAACTATTTTCTGCCTTTGCCTTCCTTCCTTCTCTCTCTCTTTCCTTCCTTTCTTTCCATTGTCAAATGTTGTGTGTTTTGTCGGTGCTATACTGCACCCTGCCTGATAGCCCATCTCTTACACCCGGCATTCTGTCATAGACATGTATTGGGACTCAGTGAGATAGTGATCAATAGCCAACACAGGTTTATAAATTTAAAGCAACTTAATAACAATCTCTTTTCCCGCGGCCTTTGCTCTAAAGCACATGCGGTTCTTCTTCCTGTGAATCCCCGCCCTGCAGCACCACTGCTATGCCCTGCATCACGAAGACTGACATCGGCGTCACGTCTGCTAGGGACGAGGCTGTTCAAGACCCCTTTGTTGCCACTCATTCTCCTCAGTCGCACCTGCCGGGGTTTATGCACGTCTGGTACGCAGTACAGATGTACGAACGTTACAGAGTGTTCTCTCCTCCACATGCAGGTTCCCAGCATCCCCAGGAAGCCGTGAGGGCAAAGCTACTTCACAATAACCCTTGGATGTCATTTGCTTTTCCCCACTTCAGTGCAGACAAATGCACAGAAGGCATAAAAACCGGGTGGGCCGGATGGGGAGGGGCCTTAGATTGAACCATACACAGAGTGGGAGGCGTTCTACTCGTCTGCTTCACTGCCACGCAGGCAAAAAAATGCCCCAAACGTTTCACCTACCGTTTGATTCGGCAGTAAGAATGATTAATATGGGGGGGTGGGGGGAGGTGCTCCCTGAGATCATAAACCTTGACCACTGAGAACGGGTTGTTTCAAAGCTCACCATAATTACTTAGAAGAACGACGAGCTGACAAAAATGGTGTTCTATGAAAAGAGCAACTCACACAATGCACCTGTGCTCTTCCTGACCGGCTTTGGTATGCAGCGGCTGGGTGTGAGCACCTGTGCCACAGAGAACTCTGAAACAGGGGTTTGTGGCACATTCTCCTGGAAACAAACAAGACGGCCGGCTCTTTAAGAAAAGCAACAGGCAAAGTTTGGAACCAAGGTAACATTAAAATTTGGGAAAACTTTTACCTGTAACAGTTAAGCCAGGCAGCTTTTTTTTTTTTTTTTAAATCATTTTATTAGGGGCTCGTACAACTCTTATCACAATCCATACATACATCCATTGTGTCAAGCACATTTGTACATATGTTGCCATCATCATTCTCAAAACATCTGCTTTCTACTTGAGCCCTTGGTATCAGCTCCTCATTTTTTTTTACCCTCCCTCCCCGCTGCCCGCCCCCCCAAACCTTGATAATTTATAAATTATTATTATTTTGTCATATCTTACACCTTCCGACATCTCCCCCACCCACTTCTCCGCTATCTGTCCCCCAGGGAGGAGATTATATGTAGACCTTGTCATCTGTTCCACCTTTCTCCCTCACCTTCCCTCCACCCTCCTGATATCGCCACTCTCACCACTGGTCCTGGGGGGTTCATCTGTCCTGGATTCCCTGTGCTTCCAGTTCCTATCTGTGAGCCAGGCAGCTTTTTGAGACTTAAAACGATGTTGCCGATGAGGTCAGTGGGCATAACTGTGATTCCAAAACGTACAAGCATTTTGATGGAGCCGCACAGCTCAAGTCAGCCACTATTTGTCCTATCGATGAAGTTCATGGGCAAGGTTTCAGGCTCTACATTAAAGAAACCATCCCTTGATGGGTTTTAGTACCAGGGAAGTATCGCCACCATGGTCTGAAAAGGCTAATGAAATGCTCCGCCTCACAGCTCAGACAAGGGGAGGTGAGAGAGGGACCACAACTCAAAGACAGCTGTCCACATCATGGAAAGACAGGTGTAGCCTCTCAGCCAAAATGAATCACGTGTCAAAACCCACACCCAAACTTCTCCCAACTATATATTCACGAGGGTGGGTTTCTTCACGTATTTCAACCCCAGCAAGCGACCTCAGAGAAGCGATTGTAGATGCAGACATTAAGGACCCCGACAGTCGAGCGAAGCATGCAAATGTCGAACGTGGCCCCTCCTCTTCTCACAGAATGCTTGTTTTCGAAGTTATCTTTACCAAAAGAGGGTTTCTCTTAACCAATTACTATTAACCAATCAACCAGGTTTGCAATTGCTCTTTGGGGAATAATGTTTAAGAAGGAGGAGATCTGAGTCCCACTGTAGGAAATAAATGGAAATGTTTCTACTTATAGAAGCTAATATGAAGTCTAGCTAGTTTTTTTTGAGACATAGCATTGGAGGGAAAATTTACAACCTGGGATTTTACTATATTTTAGAATAAAGGCCAATCTTGATCAAAGCTCCTATAGAAGCCTGATCTAAATGGGAGGAATGTACAGATTCTGCTGAACTCCAACTTCTCGTGGGCTTGACTCTTTGGAGCCTTGGAGCCTGGACGAAGCCCTAAGATTACTGCCTTGAGATCATCTTAAACCATAAAACTGAGCTCATCCCATGAAGCCCTCTTAAAACCAGATAATTCTGTAGTTTCAAGGGGAGAAGGGGGTCTATCTTGAGCACCAAGCTCTTGTAAGACCTAGCCATAGCTGATCCTTGAACAACGAATGCGACCCCTGTAGCAACCCCTAGTCTGAAGCCATATACAACTCTGACTCCCCACAAAATTAACTAGTAATAGCCTGCTTTGACCAGAAGCCTTACTAGTGACAAACAGGATATGGGTTATCTACTGCACCCACACAAGGCTGCATTTTCCTTAAGAGCTAAAAAAGGCTACAGGGGCAGCTTTGCAGGCATCCTTGGCTGTGTTCTGCAATGGTGGGCAGCTGCAGGGAACGTGGTCCTGAATCTAGGGGCCACGTCAAGTGACTCAACGGCTTCTCGTCACATTATGCCGATGACCTGCTGCTTCTCGGGAGCACTCCCAGCAGCAGCTCCACAGCAAGTGGAGGAAGCGTCCTACAGGGCCCTGTGGTGTGTGTTCTGGGTGTCTAGGGGCTCTTGTTTTTTCTCCGCGAGATCGTGGTTCACTGCAGAGATGGGTAGCATCACCCGTGCGTTTGAGAAAAACCAGTGTCTGAGTGGACCTGAACAGCCCAAAGCCGTGCTGCTCCAGGGGTCAAACTGCCCACTCTAACGTGAAAGGCTGGGGAGGAACCTTAGGGGGCAGTGGGCTTAGGTGAGTGGGGGAGGAACCGCTCAGGAGAAGAGGGCGAGGATGGTGGGACAGATGAAGAAAGTGCTCAGGGCCCCTGAGCTGCACACGTAGGCACAGCCCCGCTGGGGGACGCCAAGTGCTGTGCAGATCCACAACAGCAACGAGGACATGAAAGAGAAACAGACACACGGAGTGAAGCACCAGACAATGCTCCGACCCACGTGCTAATCCGTGTCTGAGGCTGGGTAAAGCATCTGTGGGCGGGCCCTTTCCCGGCGCCAGGGTCATCTCGCTGGGGCCCCGTGCTCACCTGTCAGCGCGTCCGGCGCGTCCGTGTTGCTGCCTCGCTGGATGAGCCGGGCTGCAAAGCTGTTCTCGTCGAAGGAAGTTCCGTTGACGACGGGGGCGTCTTCGAAGGGGTTCACGGAGTGGTCGGCAGACACGGTGATATACTGCACCGCAAGCCACAGGGCCGTGCTGCCCTCGTGGTCCTTCAGCTCCAAGTCCAATCTGAAAGGAGGAAGCGGCGTGAGCCACACACAGCCTTCCTCGGACACCTCGCGATTCTCGCTCTTCCCAGGCGCCGAGGGGCACGTGCTGCTTCTTGGCGCTTCCGTTCTTAACGCACAGAACACGGAAACAACTCTTTTTCACCCACAGTCACCGCCCCCCTCACACCGGCTTTCATCCCATTACCCCGTGCTCCCTACGTACTGTTTGCACGGCAGCAACTGGTTGAACACCGGTTCGTTCCGAGCCGTGATGGACAAGTGTAAGGGCGTCCTGCGGGATGAGAGGAAGGACGGGTCAAGTCAGGGCGGCCCGACCCTGGTGGGGGACCTTGAGAAGTCATCATCCAGAGGCCATGCCGCAGCCGGGCGATAGAAGTCCCTTCAACCATGGCAAGTGGCTTTCCAAGACCGAGACCACACATCCAAGTACGAAAACAGACTCATGGAGCGCTACCGTTTACTTGGCGTCCAGAAAGGCAGGAAGCGATCGGAGGAAGAGACATGAAACTCTGAGACGCAGCACTGGGTCCTCGCTGAAGGTGCAGACAATCTTACTTCTCTTCAAAGCGACCCGTTTCTACCACAGGTGTGCACCAGTTTTCCCAACCTATTCCCACCAATGCGGAGCATTTTCTCTCTTCTTAAGTATACTCCGTTGTACGCCATTACACTCAAACTCAGAATGAGTAGCAAAAGTTAAAGTTTGCCTATCACTAGTGAATGACTGGAGAACTGGTAGAGTAGTGGTTACACGTTGGGCTGCTAACTGCAAGGTCAGCAGTTCAAAACCACCAGCTGTCCCTCAGGAGAAAGACTGGGCACTTTACTCCTGCAAAGAGTAACAGTCTCAGAAACCCACAAGGGCAGTTCTACCCTGTCCTATATAGTCACTATGAGTCAGCAGTGACTTTTATGAGTGAACAATTAGAGTGGCACTTACCCACTCTAGCATCTACCTGGGGGTGTGGGGGGACAGGGATTGGGGAGGGGGAAATCAAGAATCAAGAGATCAATGGGAACAAGGGTGATAATTATTTGGGAAATAGAGTAATTATTACATGAGACTGAGAGTTAATGGAGAAGCATCTTATCTAAGCCCTTGACTCATCACACAAATCCATTCTCCTAACAAGCACACTTCACACACCATATCCGCTTATTCTTTGAACAAGCACAGAAAGACGTAAGAGTGAGCTGATGTGAAAAGGAAGAGGTTGCACTTCTTGTTGGTGCCCAGGGTGACTGACCCTCCCTTCAAAGCCACCCCCCCGCCCCCCACTCCTGCTCTGTTCGCTTCTAAAGCACAAGGAGCCCTGGATTGGCTGTTCCTGGGCAGGAGCACAAGAAGCCAGGTAACTGGTCCGACGTGTGAGGGGCCAAGCGATGAAGGTGCCAATCTGTGCGGAGGAGGCGCTGCCTGAAGTCATAAAGCACTTGGCACTGTGGAGGCCAGTCGGTGGTTCCTCAGAGGTTAAAATGCACCAGGACCACACAACCCAGGCACTCCCCTGCCAGGTGCACCCAGGAAGCACAGGGAGACCGAGTGCAACCAGGCCCCTGACCAGCAGTGCTTATCAGAGCACTCATCGCAAGAACCAAAAGGTGGGAACAGCTTAACTGTCCGACGGCAGGTGAACAGATAAAAATACAAGACATACACGCAAGGAAGGTCAAAGAGCATTGCTATATGGATTGCAGTTCATGCAGAGGTTTATTCCAAACCCAGCGTGTCTCTGCTGTCAGACTAGCTCTCTCTGTAAGGTTAGTATCGAAGTCTCACTACGGGGTCTTTAAAAATAAGGTCCAATCAAAACCTTAGCTTCTGAGGCCATGTGCTAGACGGAGGGACCCCAAGACTATTGCCCAGAAAGGTAGGCTGGGGAGGTTAGGGTGACTAGTCAGGACGGGGAATGAACTCACCCCGCCTCCTGGCTTCATTTTGAGCCAAGTCTGTAACATTTTATGGGGTTTTACGGACAGGTCTCTATCATTAGAGAGGTCCGTGCACCTTAGTCAACAACCACTTGAGATCAAAAGGGCAGCATTGACCCAAGGGCAAAGTTTTGAAGGACTAGGAAAGGGGGGTGGTGGTGGTGGTGGACACAAGAGATGCAGGAAAAAACAGGAAAAGTGATGTGCCATCATGTGGATTTTAATTTGTTGAATATAAATTGAGTGGAAAAAAATTGTTGAGTGGAAAACTGATGCTTTGTAAACCCTATACACAACTCACAAGTTAAAAAAAAAAGTGTCTGAGCCGACATCGGGGCGTGAGGCGGCAATCCGAGGAGCACCTACATCCCTAGTAGGAGCCGCTGAAGCCCAGCCACGATGTTTCGGATCGAGGGCCTCGCGCCAATGCTGGACCCTGAGGAAACGAAACGGAAGATGCGCAAGGACATGATGTCCTCCCCACGGAACTTTCTCATTTACGTGGCCCTGCTGCGAGTCGCTCCGTTTATCTTACAGAAATGGGACAGTGCATGAAGAGGCGGTCGCCCGAGAACGTACGATGTGAAGGACCTGTTCTGGTCTCTTCCCATCTGCGGAGGAACAGACCCAGAAGGATATACCAGCCTCTTGGATTGAATGGACTTAAACCTTCTGCTCGACAAGAACAAGTGGTTTTTTTTTTCCCTTCTGGTGATTGACTGACTATATAAAATTAACTGGGAAATGTGGACAGATTTCTGGTGGTGATACTGCACCCTTTTGCCTGTGATCCTCGGCCTCGTTGGATGCTGACGTAACTATAATTACATCATGTCAGACTTCATTGTCCAGCATGTCTCCATCACAAGTGTCGGTAGCAGGTCTGTCCTGACCGCCATCTCTGTGGACCTTTTTCTTTTTGTCTAGAATGTAGTTGTGAAGAGTCCGTGACAGTTAAGTTACATTTTGTGGCAGTCAGCACAGAACCACAAGGATATCTGAGCACAGAGCCATTAGTCTCTCGCTACATATTTTTAATAAATGTATCAGTGTGGAGAAAAAAAAAAGTAAAAGCAGAGGGTCAGCTCAGAAGGTTATGGCGACAATTTTGTGGGATTCCAAATGGGTAATCTTGAGAGATTTTCTCCAAGGACACACAGGACAAGCCTGGATTCGAAAACAGGTTTTATGAAAATTGAAAACTGCATTGGTGAGAAAAAGGCCAAAAAGTTGTGCCTGGGAATTCTCTTCCCACATATACAACACACCTGCTCATTCTTCAAGTGTAGCAAGAGCTGTGCTACGAGAGTCTCGTTGGGACACTGCAGTGCCCCATCCACCCAGCCACCCTGATCTTGCCCCTTCAGACAAGAAGTGGTGCAAACCAGAGCATGTGGGGTTGGCTCTTCCGGGAAGGGTGATGGAGATGTGGTGCCGCCTTCAGAGGGGTGTGCATGTGCAGATGGAGGACATGTTGGGAAACAACAGCTTCACATTTTGTTATGTTCGTTTAATGAAGGCTTACTTACTCTCATACAAAGGAGTATTGCACAACCATAAAAAGAAATACATTCATGATATAAGCTGCAGCATCGGAAGCGAATGTTGAAAGCTTAACTGAAATATTTATAGATATTATGAAATATCTATAGATATTTTGTAAATAGCTATAAAAGGGAAAATATTGTGTATGAGAGGGCTTCACAAAGTTTGTTTTTAAAAAGTAGGGTTAAAAGAGAATGGAATATTCCCATGAGTTTCTTCAAGCCCCTTCACACTCCCACTTACATACAATAGTTAGAATTCACAGATGTATAGAGACCAAAGATTCGCAATGGTTGCAGGGTTAAGGGAGAAAAGAAGGGGTAGTCATTGCCTGTGAGCACCGAGTTTCTGCTAAGGGTGGAAAATTCTGGAAATGTTTCCTGCTGATGGTTGCAACATGATAAAGGGAATTAATGTCTGTGAGGTGTACAGGTAAAAAAAATGTCGAAACGACACATTTTGTTATATATATTCATACCAAAAAGGGGTGTGTGTGGGTAGAGTGTTGCTTGAGGTGGGAGTATTTACAGGAAGAATCGGATATAACACAGAGAATTTTCTCCAACTAGCCAAGGTTTCTACTTGCAGGATGGCCATCCTGGTTCCTTCGGCCATGAAGAGACTGAGAAATGCAATGGCCCCAGGGACCCAGGATGGCCACGTTTGCTTCAAAGGCCTCCAGCCTCTCCTTTCGGGGTCAACGCATGTGTGTGACATCAACAGAAACACGACCGACTAATGCTAGACCAAGGACATGAAGAGGCTGTGTGCCTGCCGATGCGTTCCCCCACAACGGAGCGGATGGCAGTGCGGAAGGCACCGTCTCTGCTCCCAGCTCACCTGCCCTTGCTGTCCTGCATGTTGGGGTTGGCACCGGCTTGCAGGAGGGCCTCTGCAATCTGCGCCATCTCGGACGTGCCATCTGCCGCCGTGTGCTTCTTGGCACTGTACAAGGCCACAAGATGCAACGGCGTCTCCTGGGCGCCCAGCGTAGCAGCATTGACAAGAGCCCCGTTCTTGATGAGGAAAGTGGCAGCAAAGAGATCGCCTTGAGAAGAAACAATGAAAGAAATGGTCACAGATGACAACCCCCAGGGCAAGCAATTCTGGCCAAAACGGTCTTAAAAAGGCACCAGCTGGTAACTGTGGAGGAGCCACAGCCAGGGCCTCGGGGAAGCAGAAGCCCATCGCTGAGATCATGGATTTACAGTCTCATTCAAAAGGGTTTGATCATCACTGATGACCTGTTAACACCTCCTCATTTCAGTATCACTTCCAAGTTAAGACCACCAGGTTTCTGTTCCTCAAAGGCCTCCTCTGAAAAAGGCCTTCCATGAGTCTGTCCCCCCCACCTCACCCCACCCCACCACCCCTTAGCCAGTCTGTACCCCAAGCCACGCTTACTCATCATCTGCTCTAGCTACAATCAGGCTTCTGTCTTCTGTTCAGTGTGTGGGCCGCTGGATAAGCCCATGTCTGATGACTTATATTACGACAGAGATCAGCTTTTCAATGTCTGCAGTCTCATTCTGAAGATGCATGACAGCCTGAACAAGGAGTTTACAACTACACAGCTGGACAGTCTATCAACACTTGACTATTATAAAAAATCTCACATGGAAAATTAACCAGTCTTTTTTTTAAAAAGGTGCCCTTTGTAAAACCCTCCCAATGCCTTAACTATTGGAATACTACAGGTAAAAAGTCTCCCTAGAATTATTTAAAATACCAACTTAATACTGAACAATGTACACAAAATCCACTCTATTTCCACTTTTGACTATTTTGTGCGCTGTATAAGGAGGAAGTGGGGGAGAGGGAGCTCCTTGACATCTTGACAAAAGGCAAAGAATTGAGCTTAAATGATAATATTGAAGGTCCACACACCTATGAAGCTACTGTCAGGTAACATGAAAGCAAATTCAGGACCAGCAAATCTGCGCGAGTGGCAAGTTAAGGTTAAAAAGGCTCGTGGGAAAGCAGGTAAAGTCTACTTGTCAGGTTAACTTGGAGGTCAGAGGGATTTGGAAATGACATCTGGCTTACAGGGCCAGCTTCTTTGGGTTTGTCAGTTGCTGTGAAGTCTGACCTGTTTTTGCACAATAGAACGAAATGCTGGTGTCGGATCAATTCCCAATTCAAACATGCAAAGCCATTCACTATTCTCACTTTGCTTAAGAAAATACGGCAAATAATAATTATTACTCCTAAGACAGGGAACGATCTATCAGAGAAGTTATTATAAAAGCACAATGCCTGTTTGTTGGCAGCCGAGCTACTAGGTAGAAGCAACTGTTTCTCTCGGTGGCCTCCAGGTGGCCCAAGCTAGCAGCTCACAGCCAGGACAGCAACAAGCTTCAAAGCAAGCTCATTCTCCACCTGGCAGTCTACAAGGCTGGGGAAGGGTGCAGAACACATATCCCAGTGACCCCAAGAGCTCGTCTGGGATTCCGAGGGACTTCTGCAGATTCGGGATCCCTTTCATCAAGGGCTACAGGGCTTTTTTCCAAATACCATCTTTTCTTTTTTTCAGCTGGAGGATCTCAGAATGCCAAGCAATCTCCCAGAGTGTGACATGCTGGCTACACAACTCCAACTACTCCTTCAAGGTCCTGAGGGTGTGGGGATGAAATGTGTTTCAAATCCTCTTAGGATCACAGAGACAGATCCTTTGAACAAAGAAATTCTAGATGATGATTTTTTTTCTCTCCTCTGAAGGCACATAATTATGAGACATTTTCTTTTATATTCTAAAATGTTTCCCCTGCTTCACCAACACGTCCCCATTCTGAACATCTAAAATAGGGCTTAGGAAGTGCAAGAGACACACAGCTCCCAGGTCTACTATCTCTGCCCCCTCTGATTCTCTTCATCTGGGTATAGGGGTTCCACCTGAGCAAATCATCAGGCAAGCTGGACTATATGAAGAGAATGCCGAGTAACGATGGCAGGAAGGCTTGTCAACAGCCATGACATGCCGCCAACACAATGTGGCTTGCTCAAATCAGGAGGGTTTGAAGCACTTGCTGGTGAAGATCAAGGTTTGCAGCCTTCAGTATGGATTACAACTCAATGTGAAGAAAGCCAAACCCCCACAACTGAACCAATCGCTAACATCATTATAAATGGAGAAAAGACTGGCGTTGTCAAGGGTTTGTCTGGCTTGGCTCCACAATCAAAGTTCACGGAAGCAACAGTCTAGCGATCAAAACTTGTATTGCTTTAAGTAAACCTGCTGCACAAGACCTCTTTAGAATATTAAAAAGTTGATACCAAGGGCTCAAGAAGAAAGAAAATGTTTTGAGAATGATGATGGCAAAAAATGTACCAATATGCTTGACACAATGGATGGGTGTATATGGATTGTGATGAGTTGTATGAACCCCCAATAAAATGATTTGAACAAAAAATGAATATTGAAAAGCAAAAAAAAAAAGAATAATGAAAAGCAAGGATGTTCATTACTTTGAGGACTAGGGTGCAGCTGACCCAGGCCATGGTATTTTTTCCAATTGCCTGACATGCATGTGAAATAAGGAAGACCAAAGAATAAGGAAGACCAAAGAATAGATGCATTTGAATTATGGAAAGTATCACGGACTGCCAAAGGAACAAACAGATCTATACTGAAGTACAGCCAGAGTGCTCCTTAGAGGCAGAGCGGGCAAGACACCATCTCACATAACATATTTTGGACATGTTATCAGCCGAGACCAGTCTCTGTCTAGTTGAAAGGTGGAGGGATAAATGGGTGGTGAAGCCTCGCCTTTCTAGT